GTTATATGAGGACCTAACATCTCATCCAGTATTACAGTACCTTGCTTGGGTATCGTTACCAGTCTGTCTAGTCCTCTTCAGCGCAGGCTTTGTTCATATCATCGCGCCTCAAAGTATAGGATCCGGCATCCCCGAAATGAAAACAATCCTGAGAGGCGTTGCACTCAAGGAATACCTAACATTTCGTACTCTCGTAGCCAAAATTGTTGGTCTGACCGCCACACTTGGTTCAGGTCTACCACTTGGAAAAGAAGGTTTAATATTTAATATTATTTGCATTTACTTGCTATACTTTCTATTAATAATTGTGCAATCAATTAGTCGGTTTCTATAAAAAAGAATTAACGATTGATTACTCTTCTGTTTTCTTTATGCTATGCGTAATAAGATCTTCAAATAGATTTACTAAAATAATTATAGATAATAGATTTTATTATATCCATCTTTAATACTTATACCTTTTTGATAAAGAACATATTATTTAATAATGTAATAATTTAAATATGCATATAACTAATTAAACACATATTGAGTTAATAAAACAATTATTATATAATATAATGATATATTAATTAATTGATAAATTGCAGTTTATTTTATTCAATATTGTAGAAATTAGTTTATTTAAATAGCAATAAAGTAACTCAATTAGATTAAAACATATAATTACTTTAGTATATAATGTATCATTTTCTTTTAAACTATATATATACTCAATTCATCACATACAAGAAAATTCACGTTTTTCCATAAAAATTGTTTTTGTTTGAAATTATTAAGAATTTAAGAAATATAATATAGTCTTCATCTTTCGAATTATTTATGAGCGAGAGCATACAACGATAATAAAAAGTAACAATTACTTATATTCTTTTTATGCACCAAAGATGATATCTAGAAAAATATTTTATATTGCTAGTAAACAGGAGCAATTCAAAACAATTGCGCAAAAAAATTGAAAGCTGAATTCATATTCCATATCCAGGTCCATTTGTACACATCGCTAGTATCGTGGCAACGTTGCTATCAAAACTGGTGACAAGCTTCCAGGGTATCTACGAAAATGAAAGCAGAAACTGTGAAATGCTTGCGGCCGCGTGCGCAGTAGGTGTTGCCTCATGTTTCGCTGCACCCATCGGTGGTGTTCTCTTCAGCATAGAGGTTACGACCGTGTATTTCGCAGTACGTAACTACTGGCGAGGCTTTTTTACGGCCGTCTGCGGCGCCACAATGTTCAGACTATTGGCGATTTGGTTCCAACGTGAAGAAACTATCACTGCAATGTTCATCACCAACTTTACCATGGACTTTCCATTTGACCCTCAGGAACTCTTTGTCTTCGCTTTGATTGGAGTTGGCAGCGGCATCTGCGGTTCCTTCTATGTTTGGCTCCATAGGCAATATGTTATATTCATGCGCAAGAATAAAAGTATGAACAGCTTCCTACAAAAAAAGTAAGGAATTCTTGCTCGGAAAAATTATTCTTAATCAACAATTCATCTTGATAAATTAAGTATTTGCAAATTTATGTACCTAATAAATATTTATCATCTATAATATTAAAAATATTAGTATCAGATGTAAATAATAAGTAATAAATAATTTTCGTCAAAACTTAAAATTTTATTAGCTTGCTATTTTTAGAACCGCCAATTACTTACAAATATATCTACACAATTTAATATTATTTCATTGTATTACAAATTGAGTTTTTATAATAGAAACATTATGATAAAAACATTAAATTTGACTTATATTAAGTACTTATATTAAATATTTTTAGTTTTACAGAATCGAAACAATTAGAATTATTTTCCCACCATTCTTTTTCTGATTTACATACAAATTTAAGATTAATATAAGTTATTAATTATTAACACTAAATACAATTAATTATAATGAGTTTAATATAATTGAATTTTAAATTACTATTTTATTAATATTTCAAAATTATTGATTCGAATCTATAATTATTGCATAGTCGTTTCTTATACCCTGGCATTGTTTCGATTTTGGTGTCCTCTGTTTCTTTTCCTCTGGGTCTTGGCCAATATATGGCTGGTGACCTAAATACTCATGATCAAGTACACGGTCTTTTCACCAACTTTACTTGGACTAAAGATGACTTGAACGTGGAAGAGAGAAATATCGTTAAGCATTGGTCTACCGAGCGTTCAGATGTATTTGTTGGTCTCTTGAGTTTCACGGTATTCACGGTAAAATCTTTATAACAAAACATTCGTAATAAAGTTTATTAAATTAAAACTATGTTGTATATTAAATTAAAAAATGTTCATAATGATATAAGATATAGTTTATAATATATTTAATTTATAATATACGTATCAATAAAATTTCTTTAATATAAAAGATTACAGCTTAAAATAATTTAAGTAAATAATCATATTTTAATATATTTTAATTGCTTTAATATTGGTTACATCAAAATAGAACGTTTTTCTCTGCCTTCGACTATATAATAATTATTTTTAATAGAAAACTATTATATCTTATAATATTATATAAATCAAAGGCTTCAGTTCCAATAATAAAGTTTATAGGTGTTTCAAATAAAATAATTATAAATTACTCAAATACTCTTAAAATAATTCTTTAAATAAAAAATTAATTTTATTTTTTAATTTCTTAGTCGGTTCAAAAAACTTTAATTTTTATTTAATATATTTATTTAGAACAATTATTAAAAAGCTTGTATTTAAATAATACAAAAATTAGCCTTAAATAATAAAAGTACAATAACATTGATGCATTTATTTTAATTTTTCAGTTTATTTTTTCCATTATCAGTTCAACAGTGCCTGTACCTTCTGGAATATTTATTCCAGTTTTTAAAATTGGTGCTGCTTTAGGGCGAGCAGTCGGAGAGGCTATGGCTCTACAATTTCCTCACGGTGTTCGATATGGCGGAATTATAACACCTATTGTTCCAGGTATAAGACTTAATCCTTTAGTTATAATATTATAAATTATGCTAATAAATTATGTGAATTATTTACAGTAATTCTTAAATATTTTGAGTATGTTATAAGTTAAATATGAAATATATGAATATGTAATTTGCTTTTTTGTACAATTTTAAATTAATAAGATAAAAAATTTAACGAAAATTATGATGGACATTTTATTTGCATTTGTAGTAGCTTGAAACATTATTATTATTATTATTATTATTATTATTATTATTATTACTATTATTACATTAATAATATAAGTAATGAATTTACATCAGCTTTCAATGAATTTCAATGTTAAGTAACTTATTTAGTAAAATGTTAAGTGTCTTAATACTTTATCAAAATTATGAATTTAATAAATACTAACTAATTATATTCCAATAGTAAAATTATGTAAAGAACTAGGAGATCAAAAATAATTTGAAATACTAAATGTATGCAGCTTTTAATTTCATTGCGCATATTATTCATTAAAATATAATGTTTGAACTACTTCTGAATAATTTCCTAGATTATAAATAAAAATTCTCAAATTATTTTTGAAAAGCAACAGTTATTGTGTTTAAAAAATAAACCATCAAATAAATAAAAATAATAATAATAAAGGTGGATACGCGACAGTCGGTGCCGCTGCTTTTTCCGGTGCTGTAACGCACACAATATCTGTCAGCGTGATAATATTCGAAATGACTGGACAGATCACGCATATAGTGCCTATGATGATAGCTGTCCTCATCAGTAACGCCATTGCCGCACTTCTCCAACCGAGTATCTACGACAGTATCATATTGATCAAAAAGCTGCCCTATTTACCAGACTTACTGCCTTCGGGATCAGGTATATATTTTTATATACACAACTGATTTAATGCTTTTTTAACATTCATAGTGCAAAAACTAAAAAAGTGAATGTGTAATATTGCTTATTTAGAAAAATTAATGATTATTTTTGTGAATTTTTAAGAGTACATTATTAAAGATTGAAAACTTTACTATTATTTTACTTATATCAATAACATTTCGATTTTTATTGCTTTCTTTTTATATTAATCATAATTTAATTTTTATTTATGTAAAGTAAAACTAAGTAAATGTTTAAACTAATATTACTTATAATATTAGTATTGTGTTTCATTACTTATATAATGTCAACGCTTCGTTTCAATCATTTAAAATAAATTAATCTGATAAATTTTTTATAACATGTTCATTTTTATGAATTATCAGTTTTTTAATATTTTAATCTAGTTGAATAAAAATTAAATTTCTACAACTAAAATTAACAACAAATTTACAATTTATTTTTACAAACAAATATTTCAAATAATAATAAAAATAAAATGAAATTGTATCTAGTTATTCATTATATTCAATAATCTTAAATATATTAAATATATATATATATATATATATATAGAATATTAACTCTGGAATTGAAACATCATTTTATTGAAATAATTTATTCTTCTTTATTGCTAATTATTAATCTTACCTCTACATTGCTTTCTACATTAGTTTGACGATTTCTTTTTCTCTTATATTAGTCCTTTTTATTTATATAACACTTATCAATATGAATTACAAATTGCTATATTATTTTCTAAGATAAATATTTTAAAGCCTAGAATTAATATAGATGAAAAAGTAAGATATCAAAAAATCATTTATTAATTTAGATATGTATCTACATATATTAAAGCTTATATAATATATATATACATATACATATTAGTTAAATAATTTTTTCAATATTCATGCAAAGTCAACTATTTGGAACAAAATTCGGTAAGAAACCAAAAAAAATCCTAAATATATAATATCATGTAATACAATGCTCTATATTACATTATTGCAGGAATGTATAATATCTATGTAGAAGACTTCATGGTATGCAATGTAAAATACATTTGGCATGGAATCACGTATCAAAAATTAAAGGAAATATTAAAAGATAACCGAAAACTTCGTGGATTTCCATTAGTTGAAAATCCCGATTCCATGATTTTATTGGGATCGATACAAAGACTAGAACTAATAAAATTAATTGAAAAACATATTGGCAGAGAGAGAAGATTGCAGGTAAATCTTTACTGTGAGAATTTTTAAAAATTATAAATATATTTATATTTTATTAATTGTTAATAAATTAAAATTTTTATCTTACTATAATATAAGAATAATAATATTGATATTACGAAATAGATTATAAAATTATTAAAGTATTTTTTTACAGGTTGCTCAAAGATGGCATAAAGAAGCTGAAGAACGAGCTAAAGAAGAGATAGAAAAACAATTTAGAGAACAGGAAAGATCAAGAAGACCTTCAAGATTTGAAGTAATACCAGCTCCAGATATTTTGAAATTGCAAAGGCAAAGTGTAAATGATCTAACAATGTCATCTGGCAATGGAGTGAATATCGAACACGTAATATTAAAATATAGTTTAAGATCCAGACAATAATTTTAAATAATGAATATTTAAAAAATTGATATAAAAACTATAATTATAATAAATTTTCGTCTTTTCAGCATACATTTCATACTCCAATATTTGGATCCCAACCAAAAAAATCGATTCTCAAAAAAACAAACTCTTTTACTCTTAAGGGCTTTAGTCCTTTGGTTAGCCCAGCTGTAACACCTTATACTACTGTCACAGGAGCTGAAAGCAGGTGAAAAAGATTATTCTAAAAAATATTTTTTTCTTATTAATATATTGTTCAAATAATTATATTGATATAATTAATAAGAACTTTATCATTGATGTCAAACAACTAAAATAATATTAAAATAAGAGTTTTATTTTAAAAGACATTTCCTTATATTCTAAAAAATATAATAGTAATCTTTAGTTTGAAAATATTAGTTAATTATTTATAAATGAATATATTAAAAATGTAGTAAATAATATTCATTAGTATTATATTTAACATTGTAATTCTATTTACGTGTATAGAATCAGATTAGCATTTGAAGCAATTTTCCGAAAATCAACAACTTTACAAGATGTGGATCCAGATCCTGAAATTGGTTCAAATACTATTGATAACCAATGTCGTAATGGAGCGCGTCAACCTATATTAACTCCAAGCCCAGCAACATCCAAAAAAGTTCAATTAGTACATATCGAAAAAATATGTTTATTACATATTTAGAAAAAATAAATTTGCATTAAATAATAAGTTTATATTAAAACCAGATTTATAATATTTATTAATAATATTTAATAATAACCGGTTAAATATTTTTAAATAAATTCTATAGACGTTAATTTATTAAAAATATTTTAAAAAATAAAACACTTTTTCGCATAATTTAAACAAAAAATTAAAAGACTGTAATTGTTTTAAATTAACAAATTATTACTATGATTATTCTATTAATTAATTAACTAATTTATTGATATAATTAAATTAGCCTCGCGAACGAGTAATAGACATGTCGGCAGAGGACCAGAAGCAATGGGAGGAAAGTGAAATGGCTTTGGAAGTAAATTTTCTGCGTTGTCATATCGATCCCGCACCTTTTCAACTTGTCGAAAGAACATCTCTTCTTAAGGTTCATAGCCTCTTTAGCATGGTGGGAGTTAATCACGCTTATGTCACGGCAATCGGAAGACTGGTGGGAGTGGTTGGATTAAAAGAGGTGAGACTTTTCTCTGTTATCCTTTGTTAATTATTAATAATAATAATTTTATGTATATATTTATGTAACAGTTACAGTATTTGTAGCTATGAATATTTTCTATATTTGTACAATTTGAAATGGTTCTTATTAGTTTTAATATTTAATTAATAAATATTTTCTTCAATAAATACTATTTTGTAATAGTTTTTTGGTTAATTGAACGTGAATTTAAAGTTTAAAGTTAAAAATTCAATAAAAAATTTAAAGTTTAAAACCAAATAAATTTCTTATAAAAATAAATAATTCCTTGATAATGTACCCATAGTTACGCAAAGCAATTGAAGACGCAAACGCTGGCATACTGCCAATGCCATTTATCAGCGACAAGCATGTAGTGACATCTAAATTGAGCCTTACCAAAATCAGCGACGTGAATAGAGGCTTGGAAACCTCAAGAAATTTCAGCCAATACAGTTTGACAAATGCCGAGGATGTAGACATCAACAAGGTCTAGTAGTCGCCATCGATCGTGTCGATACGAGAAAAAATAATAAACCGATTGTGATAGTCGCGAGGGCGCGACCCTGTACCTACCGTAGCCGAATATTTCATTCTTCTCACGTTCTATAAATCACGAATCCTGATATTAAAGATAAGAATATAAGGCATCGATGCTCTGCTAAGTTAAATCTAGATGGCATTTACATTGTGCGAATTTTTTTATTATTCCATGTAGATCTGCTTCCCAGCAATATAATAGTGAAATTATACTAAAAAAATGCATATTTTTTATGTTAAAACAAAAGGCCGATAGTACTTTTCAAACAATATCACTGATTTTTAAATTTATATCGAATTATTTTTTAGTTACTTGGCTATTTAAAAAATATACTATATAGTGTTATTAATGATTTTTATTTATATTTTACGTTCACTACTCAATAAACGTTTTCAGTTTTACTTAAAAAGATAAATAGAGATGTAAAATTTAATTAACTTGAAACGTAAATTATTAAATAAAATGTCATATGAATTAAGTATTCGTTATTAGAGCCAAATAATTGGATTGAACCATTAATTAAAAATCGTAATGTATGCTGTTTTGTAAATTTCAATCATCATAAAAAATTCAATAGATTACGTACTTCATTTATAAATTAATAATACAATATAAATATGACTTATTGAAAAGGCTTATACGATTCAACTTATATTCATAAATAAAAAAGGAGGCAATTTGATCACCCGTTATATATACACGTTTTACGTAACATTAATTATTCGATAATCATCTGAGACATGTCAATTAGTTGTCTCATGTAGATTAAATGAATAATACTATAAATTCTCAGAATATAATTATTAAAACTCACTGTTGAAAATTGTTAACTAAGGTTAGAATTATTTAGAACTGAAATATCTGAACAAATAAATATATTTTAAAAGTAGGGTCTCCTGTCGCTGAAGTCTTAAACTTAGGTTGTTATCAATATTTCGAATAATATATATAAATCTAATGGCCATAATACATTATATCAAATATTAAGAATATCACATAATACTAATAATTTAAAGGAGTTATACAATTTATTATATATTCTTCTATAGCAGCTTGAAAAATTGAAAGAATATCGAACTTTCCATTTTTATGTTTCTACTATTTCAAAAAAATTTATGGTTCCTAGCTCTTTTATAAATAAAAAAATATAATATTAAATCCTATATAAGAAAAATTATCTTTTTAATTATACATGTAGATCTTAAAAATTGTATATTATTATTTTATTGCGAATATCATTAATATTCTTTATTGTCATTTAAAAAAATTTTCAAATTCGTTTTATTAGAGGCAAATTTTATTTTTAAAAAGCAAATTTGGCAATTACTTTTATAAAAATATCAAATACTGAAAATAATCGAACATTAGATAAATATGCATATCTAATTATATAAATTATACAAATAATATTACTACCGTATAAATAGTTTAAATGATAATTTTATTATACGTAAATTTTAGTTCAAATCGAAAATCTAAAATAATTTTAATGATCCTAAAAATTTAATCACTTTTACAAAATTTAATACGACACTGATTATTATCAATTTTATGAAATTTTAATTATAATTCATATAATCGACCTGATTTTATGTATGCTTACCAATCTTACATACCCTCTAAAAAAACAGTAAATTAAATCGCTTATATTTGTAAATAACTTATAACATTAACTTAAGGTATTGTATTTAAAAATGAAATTAAATAGTGGTTTTTCTAATTTCCTTATTATATATAAACTATATTTTTGGACGAAGGAGAAAAGAGCAATAACATATTATATTTCAGTATACAGTAAAAGTTAATTACGTAACCTAACAAATAATATTTAAATATATTACTTTCAATTCTCCTATGTTGTTTAAATAATCTATTCTAAGTTTATAAATTAACTGGAATAATTTTATTCAATAAAATATTCAAATTAATGTAGTTTATGTACATTATAACCAACTATTTACATATATATGAAATGAATAGAAAGCTTTTAATTTAAACTGATTTAGGGTACAACTAAGTTTTCAATGTATTAAATTATTATATTATTATTATTAAATTATATGATATTAAATTTGTATAAATATAATGATATATAGTTATTAGAAATATTAACTAAAATTTTATAACGATATAAAATAATATATTCCTAACATTATTTGAAAATTAGTATTTTATATTTATAAATATAATAATGTATCTATCCTTCTGTGACTTTATACTTAATACTCAATTTCATTTCATATTCTATAATGTGTATACTAATATTTCATTTAAAATTAATAATCTTTGATATTATAAGAAGTTTTAATAAATTAAAAAATTTGTATAAATATATAGTTATTAATTGATTAAATATTCCTAAAAAAGCATTATATGAATTATGATTGCTATTTGTTAATTCTTTTATATTTTTCTTCCTCCCTAAATTTTAAATATAAATTTAAATATATAAATTATATGTATAATAAATTCTTTAACTTTTTTAAAAGAAAATAATACATAATATTTTGATATTATATTATATATCATATTGTATATCTTATCTCCTATATTATTTATTCTATATAATAAAATCAAATATATATATATATTTATTGTTACAATATATTTTTTAGTATTCGCTAAAAATATAATAAAATAGAACGATGTGATACGCATTACTTAATATTAGAATTTGAATACGTTCAATAATTTGAATTGAATATAATTTTATATACGTAAAAAAACAGAAATTTACACTTGTACATTTTTTAAATTAATAGTATAAAATATTTGAAAAAAAAGCAAATATATACATACATACATATTTTTAAATATTACATGTATAATGTTACATGTATAGTTATAAAAATATAAAAATATACATTATTTGTTTTACGTCTTTCCAATAATTAATATTTTTATTAAAATTAATAGAATTACATTTAATAAGTTTTAAAATTTATATTCCTTCATTATTTCAAATGTTAAACTTTATTCTATGAGAATAACTAATAGCATAATATCTATAAATTATTGAAACTATTAAATAAATAATAAATTGAAAACATAAAAAGTAAATAATAATTTTAATTATACTATATTATTGTAATTATTTAGGATTCTAAAAACTAGATATTTGTAAAGAAAATTATTTTTCATAAGAAATCAGACATTTAAGAAACAATACTACTGAACCATCCATGTAAACACTTTGGCACTGGACCAGGTGTTTTAAATGTGACACGTGCAATTTCGTTGAAGGTGATAGCATTTAAAATTAATAGTGCAACTTCTGATTCGCGTTCTTGACCCCAAACGAGTGCACTAAGAACGATTCCATCATCTTCATTCTGAAAAATTTTAAATATATTGTTGCTTTTTAAAGGCTTACATATATATTCATTATTCTATTGATTATTTAATAGCCTAATAAATGCTATATTTTTCATTGTTTATTATATTAAATATTGATCAAATTTTCTTTTAACGATTCTAAATAATATTTTTTATCATTAAAAAAATGAATTACATTTCCATTTGGATCTGGTACAAATATTGGTTCACTAGGATATACTCCTTTCTCATACCAAACCAATTTAGTTTTTTGTTTTATATCCACTTTGATAATCTAAAAATTGTTATTTATTTATAAGTTTCTGTGCTTATGTAAATTATTTCACGTAACTAAAAATAATTACCGATCCAGGATTTTCAATATCGACATCACTAGATATTCCATAAAAATATCGATATTCTTTTCCAAAATTCGATTGATAATTAATGCGAGGTGTTTCGCATCCTAAATCACATAGTAATTCTGGCTTTACAAAGATTTTACCATTTGGTAGTTTAAAAGCTGCTGCTTTTTTTTTAAGAAAATTAATTTTGCTGTTATTATTATTATTATTAAAAACTTTACTGTCCCTCGACAACTTTTTAGCATTGAGATGATCATTTACAGTATCTAATGTTTCGTATACGTTATGGATAGTAATTAAGTTAAAATCAGACGAAATATTACTTGATGGTTCTTTCAAGGGTAAAACAAACCTAAGGGGTCGTCCTCGAAAAAGTGTGGAATAATTTGGATTTTTATGCATATTCTGAAATAAATTATAAACTATTGTAATTTTTTACTTTTAATAATTGAATACAAAATATACCTGTTAACTTTAAAAAAAATAAAACTACCTGCATTCTATCGATGTACATACAATCTAACATTTTAGCATCACGGTAGCAACATATATCCAAAACTACATAATTACCATCTCCTGTTTCATATTGATTTATTATGTGTAAGTAAAAGAAGGCCTCAGCAAGAAAAGTTTTCACGATTTTTCCTGTATTACGAGAAATAATATTGATATGAGTCTAAAATAAAAGAAAAATTTATAAACTTGATGTTTTAAATTTAAACGAAAAGTATATTATTTAACTTACATATTCATTTTCATACCACTTTAAACAAGTACACATTGGTTGATTTTTTATTTGACAAGTCACCAAGGACATTAATGCAATAGCTAATGGCTGCTCAACAATAATAAAATAATTCTGAGTAATTCCAAATGTATGCATATAAGACGGATTTAAAATCCATCTTGATTGAAGTGTTGAAACTATCTCAGCTTTATCGAACATGGATAATTTTTTTTTTTTTATTCTATTAACTATTTTACAGAGAAATATACGATTATTCATAATTTAATTATATATTTCCATTAAAAATTAATGATTAATAGAATTTACTATTTATAAAATTATTAGGTGAAAACTTTACAATGATATAGGCTGGACCTCTTTTTGTTACTCTCATCCCCAAATTATACACAGTTCCATCATTCATTATATGTGGATGGGATGTATGACTCACTATACTTATAAATTCTCCGATATTTACCTTAAAAATAAGAAAAGTTTTACAATAATTACAAAAAATGCATAAATGAATTGTATAAAGAAAAAATAATTCATATAAATGTTTTCTAAAATATTGATCTATATATATTATATATATATATATATATATATACGTAGGATACAAAATATTTTAAAAATGCATAAATTAGTTTATATATCAAATGAAGCAAATACTTGTATTAAATCGTATTTAAAATTAAGTATAAGATTAGTTTGAAAAATTATTAAGGTATAATAAAGTATTACCTTCTCTAAGGTTTCCAGCGATTTCGGATCAATACGATGTATAACAGGGGATTCAGTAAATGTATAATATTCATCACCAAACGGATAAACAGATATCATTGAATTATCGGATAAACTTTCTGTTGGATTAAATATAGAAGCAACTCTAAAATAGATAATCATTAATTTGATATAAAGACAAATTTCTTTAAACCGTTTTAGAATTACTCAAGGCTGTTTTATATACCTCTCAAATATACTTTGACAAGGATCAGGAACAGATTTTGTGCCAAATTCTGTAATGACAATCCTTTTAGCGGCATGGTTTTTTTTGTACACATCAGTTTGAATGAAACGACTTTGATATGTCACATTTCCATTATTTATTTCAAATCTGATAACAAAGCAATGATAATTTGAAAAAATAATATTCTAATATCTATTTTCGAATATTATATATCTGTCAAATTATTCATAAATCTATATAGATTAGTTCATAATTAGTTTAGATTAGTTAATCTATTTAGATTAGTAATTTAGATTAGTATGAACTTAAAAATAATTAGTTAAATATTATGATTTTTAAATAATTTAAAAATTAAGTAAGATATATTTTGATATAATATGTAATTTTTAATAATACGTACATTTTTATATAACTTTAATAACATAATGTTTTTAATTACATTTATATTATGTTCTAGTTACTAAATTTAAATATAAACAACAAATTTCATAATATTATTTTGGATTAATTATAATTGCTATTATGTAAAAAAATGTTTTTATATAATATTTTAAAGTGTAGGTTTATTTACCTATGGAGTAAAGCAGAACTGTCAAACAGATGATCAAATCTGTATTTACCAACTTTGAGACAGCCAGGTCCATTTCTTAGAAGTGTTCCCTTTAACCAGTTGGGAAGTTGACCGGAAATCGTACCGATAATGGGTTTTATTACTTCTTGTTCACACGAACGCATCCATATTGATGTATCAACATTTGGGTAGTAATTAGTCAAATTTGCAGTTGTATCAGATTTACTATTCTGGATGTTTGTCGATAAATTTATGCCTTCTTTCGTCTATAAAAAATACAGAAATATTACTTTTTCTATAACTTTTGCAAATTATTAAATGGAAATAACATTTTGTTAATATATATGATTCTATAATTAATTCATATATGATTATGAACTTACTTCAAATATTGTGGATTTTGAAGATGTTAATTTTGAAATATTTTGATTTAATAAATTTTCGATAATATTGAATTCTGAAGAATTAAAATCTTGATTAGAAACTGATCGTCGATATATATACATTTTTTAGTGTTAAAATCTTAAAAGCATTTAATATGTGTGTCAATTAAATTTGTTATTGCAGAAACACAATTCTTCCTTTATAATTAATAAAATATCTATTTTATAAAATAATAATTTAACAATTTGCATAATTTAAAACTAATTTTCATCTGACTAATTGTTATTGAACTCAATTTCCTTCTCATTGATTGTTAAAATTGAGATTACAATATATTGCACACGTGTATGGGAAAAGTCTATCATTCATACAACACTTGCGACTGATGAATATCGCCTAACTAGATGACTCTTGACCTTAAAAAGTATCAGTTGATAATCTCTTTAAAGCTACAATAATACCATTGAAACCTTACCAAACAGTAAGCAAGTAAATTTATTTAGGCTTCTAATCTCAACGTCATAATACGAAGTATTATACGATAAACGAAGTATATATTATGATAATTACGAAGTTTAGATTAATTCATAAATATTTTTGTACTTCGCGTGGGACCAAATTATGTTTCAGTAAAAAATTACGTTTCACGATACTAAATACATGTTATATATATCAGTATAAAAAATTTAATTATTTCTTTTTAAAAATTATACATCAATATTCATTTATACTACAACTCTTATTTTATGATGATAAATTAAAATAAATACAAAGATAATGCACTTTAGTTAATTGAATATATTCACTTGATATATTTCATCTCCTTTGTTTCCTAAAATTCTCTAAAACGCCAATGTATTATTTTATAATATCGGCTAGTGGACTATTCTAAGTATATAAAAACTAAATAGAAACCATAAGGCTAAATTTCCTGTTATAATTATGTAAATAATTCTGATAAGTAACACGATACAATTTTTAAATAAATACATTCTACGTAGATCTTTAAAACAAGGTAGAACATGTTATATATATAAATCATGTTGCTCTATTAATAAATGCAATAACATATATGAATTTTTTAATAATTATATACATTAAGTATACCATAGGATATGCTGTTTACACACTCAATAAACACAAAAATTAATATTTTGATATAAATTATTTGATCACAGATTAAATTAGTAGTATACTGCAAGTTATACACACATATATATTCGCGAATGCAGAAAAATGCAAATTCGAATGATGATCGTAGAGTTTGACTAATCGTGTTAGTTTGAAAGTTCATTTCTATAGTTACATATTATATAAATATATAAACATTATAAATAACTAATATAGCTCGACACTAACTCATATTTTTGTATATCTAGAGCTAGTAGTTTTGTTGAATCGATTTTAAATTATCAAATGTAATAATGACCATTTTTAAAAATTAAATGACCGGTATATATAGCCCATCATACAAAGAAATAATTTGCTTCACAGATGAAACAGCACTTTATTATACGCGCATGCATAGATAAGCTCTTGATTTGATTATACATAGTAGAGAAAATTCAAGGAAAGAACATTATTCGCAAATGAGTTTTATAAGCAAATGTGTTTTTGTTTTCGAACTTACGGCTCAAATCAAAGAACGCTAGCATGATTATTGATTGGTTTCATGTCTTAATTTATATGTTATTGTTAATAGCTGTTAAGTCCTTCAATTAATAAAATGAAAATAGATATATTTAAACAGAAAATAGAGATATTTAAATGGGTAGTCTTTTCTTGATCTACTTGTTCCTTACAATACAACCTTGTTTATTCAGAAAATATACTGCTATGTACAATTATTTTATATTTGGTTTAATAATGAATTAAAAATAACACTTGTTTTATTTTGATGAATGATATCTGTTAAATAAACTATTTAATAGTTTAATTTAAAAAGATTTAATTATCTAAATAAATCCTATTCTTCAAAATAATTCACTTATTTTATTCGCGGACTTGAGTTTATTATTTTATAATCTATTAAAAGTTTTCTTATTTAACGCATAGTAAGAGTATCGATAATTCATCAAGTATGAATAAATAATATAAAAATTCAGGTGTGTATATTACATGAGGCAAATAGAATTCTAATTATTATTTCTGATAATAAAAACATTTGAACTTCATAATTAATTAAAAAACATATAAAAATTTTTTTAAACAATAAATTAAAAATATTGTATTTATTAAAAACCATTTACGGTTCTAAAAAGATAGGCCCAATAAATAATGTAATATTATAACAAATTAATATATTTCATCTATTTATTCCTTTATTATATTTTTATTATATTTATTAGCATATTTACACCTTTGTAAATAATGAAATAACATTTTATTTACTCACACTTTAAATATATTATCGCGAATATAAGAAACAAAAAATAGTATTAACAAAAACATATTGTTATAAATATAAATTATTTTTTACTAACGTTTTCTTTATATTAAAAAAATTAATGCAATAATATATTTATATTAATTATAATTTTTTCTTTAAAATCATTAGTTTTTTATTTTTATCAAAAACCATCGATATTAAAGTTGTTAAAAAAATTTCACATAAAAAAAACTACAAATAATATCTGCAAAATGCTTTCATAAACATATTATTAAAAATTGATTATTTAAAAATATAATATTTTTACTGTAAAATGTAACGTGGAATCGTGTACAAATATATTATAAGAATTAAGTAAATACATTTTGTTAAATAATATTATATTACAAGTATTTAAAAATAGTAATGTAAATATTATGAAAACTTAATTCGAGGAAAAAAGTGAATTGCATTATTTTAGGCAATTAAAATTCGGCTTGCATATGATAATAAAGTATTAAAAAAATAATAAAATTATTGCAATGTATAGCTTTACAAATGGCATAATTTTAAATCAATCTAGATACACATTACTCTAGTTTTTCACATTCATCGGATGAGGTTGGAATAAACCAGTCAAGTACGTATTAACTTATCTAGAATATTTTCCTATTAAAATAATTTAAACTGATGTATAGCCTGATACAACACTATGTTATCGGATTATTGTGACTGCTAATCAATAATCTGATAATTTTACATTCAGAAAAAAATTTAAAGATCTTCAATTTTCAAAATCAATTTCAATATATCATTAAATACATTTCTAAATATAATTATCATTCTTTTATTATATACCATATAAGTTGGTTTTATTTCAAATCTTCCAAGTAAAGTATCGTCAATTAAATAAATGATAAATGTACGAAACATAAAGAGGATAAAAAATAATATATATGTATTATTGAGCAGTAATCAATATTATTTGTAAACATTTGTCATTATATATAGTTCAATTATGAGAATATGAAGATTATATAATATTCATTACAATTATGCAATAATGATATATGGATATAACTGTGCAATTATTATCTTATTTTTAACAAATAAAAAAGAAAACTGTTTTTCAAATAATTTTTACCACTTGTATATTCATAATTTTACTCGAATTGAAAAATATATCATATATAACTTTTAAGGAATATTTGAAAATTTATTCAATAGTTTTAAAAAAATTGAATATATGTTATTATTTTATTTTATGTAGTTTATTTATGTTTAGCTTATGTTATATATGTTATTTATATTATTTTTTATAGAAAAACTTCTAAAATTATATTTTAATAAAATAAATGACTTAATTTTTAATTTTTGCCCGCCATCTATTTTGGATTTGTTATACTGTTTTATTTCATTCCTAAATTTATATTAAAAAGAATAAATGTTTTTATAATCATCCTGAAAATAACTGTACATATACATTATCGATAATTTCTAACTATGACAATAATAGACAGTATCTATCAATTTTATTATACTATATTTTTTTTATATATAAAATCTTCGTTATCCTTAAACATTAAATCTCATGAATTTGCCAAATAAAATTTATTTTTTAACCGATTGTCAATATCTATATTTTTATCTCATTATCACAAACCCAATAAGATAATATTGGTTTAAATTATTCTTTATGCATTTATAATAAAAATTTCTTTAATTATAAAATTTCTTTTTATTTAAATTTAAAAACTACGAAACGTTTATTTTTTTATAATCACTCAAGACCAATAAAACATTATAAGTCGTCTGCAAAATTTTTTGTTTCCATATGAAAAGATATAGGAAAAAATATAATAAAATCAATTTCTATTACCGCAATGTAATAAAAATAAATTTGTGTGAATAATCTAAATTGTTCTATTAAACTCTTTAAATCTTCATAATAATTAATATAAATATATCAGAAATAACAGAAAAATATATATATAAATGTATATATTTAAATTTACACACATTTAAGTTCACATACGGGCTTTTTTATATTTTATAATTTTGACATTAACATATTTATACATTTTTCGATATTTATATAAATTTCAATGACTAATTCACGATTAAAGTTTTCAATGCTATCCCCGTATAAAAATCTGAACTTGAATGATATGATCAATGTATGCTATTTCTATTATAAAATATAACATATTATAATATATTGTTGTTACGGATTACAGTATTTTTGAGCGGAATACAAAGTGGGAGAAGTGTGAGCGCGCGAAACATTGTTTTGTAAACATTAGCCAACGGACTCGAAGAATGCTTCTAGCCGAAAAACTTGGATATACGACTATAATTTCAAGAAGTAATAATAAATGAACCTGACAAAGATATGCCCTATTGACGTCATGAAAAATAGCGGCATAGTAAAAGCCACCGAGTAACAGTCCGAGAATATTTAAGGATCTGCACGTGCCGCGATTCTTCCTTCTAGTAACAAGCACCCATTACGACAGGACCGACTCTACAGCGGTTCCGCCAACACATGTAAGCAACGCTGACGCTCGTTCTTACATCTTACCTCTACTCCGCGGTTTGCGCCCACATCAAGCACACGAACGTGCACCAATACCACCACTAAATTTGAGCTCACGGACACAAGCAGTGACGTCACACAGACGTTCTCCCACCACTCCGTACACTACAGCTCACCCCACGCCGGCTGCTAAGACGGCACCAACTTGCTGCCCCTACCACCACGAGTCTCCCACTACAACTACTCAACCCAAAGGAAGAAGGAGAATCACGCTCCAGGCTATCAAGAATACACGTACAAATTTATCGCCACCAACAATAATGAAGAAACACTGATCTATTCATTCTATCATACACTCATTTCGATATTCATAGATTATTAACTACTCATTATTTATTATATTTAATCAAAGGATAGACTATAAACATTAAAGGCAGTATTGAATAATTGCATTGCCCCTTCCACTTGCCAGCAAGCCTCCACCCACCATCAGAAGGAGATTTTTAGTCTGATCCCAGACAATTATATATACATCATTTTTTTCAAATTCAGATCATTTTTCAGAATAGACAAATAACATAATATATTTATACTTTATTTTGTCTTGACAAAGTAATTCAAATTAAATCGTTAATACTCATTATCCACATTTCGTTTATTCATGCCATTTAAAATAAATATTTAAATATTATAAGTTAAAATATATGATAGATCTATAATTGAAATTGTTTGTTATAATTATAATCATTAAAAAATTTCTCGATAAAAATTTGTATTATCTGTAATAACAAATATTATTTTTTATACTCTCTTATGATGCTCACTTTCATAAATTTTTACTTACGTTTTATAATAACTTGAGAGTTTTTTTATTGTATGTCATATGTATATACCTAGTTAATATTAGGTTCTAATTTAAAAATATTTTAAATTCATCTGAACTATAAACTAATTTTAACTTTATAATTAAGGTACCAATATGTTGAAATTCAAATTAAAGATATTTAATTCTATTCAGTATTTTTAATATATTTTAATGTGTTTATATTTAAAATAAATAAATTTATAATTTGAAAACAACAATAATGCGCGAATAAGAAATACAATTAATTAAACTGAATAACATTAAAATCATATAAAATAATATAATTTTTAAAATATTTCCTAAGCATAATGAACCATTATTAATATATTATACGTTAATAATCATAATTAGTTAGAAATTATTGTTTCATCCGTTAAAGAGTTAAAAAATTTGATCATAAATAATTAAAACTATTAATAATTAAAATAATTATTAAAGGTGAAACTCCCAATTTACATCAAGTATTAATTATTGTAATTAAGTCAATATGAAAATAAATACACATGATTAAATACAATAAACTAAACTTATTGGTCATTGGAAGTACTGAAAAATATAACTGATGTCAAAAATTATATCAATTTGATTTTTATTTTATTTTTCAACAATATAGACAATTAATATATGATTGACGACCTCGTTTCCTAACTAGGACTCCATGATCTTGGCATTGTTTAAGTAACGGTAGATAAAATATTAGCTAATTCAATGTAGTCACACTGGTATCTATATTCAGATGTATTTTATTCGTTTTTGAAATATTTAGTTTTTAGACATACGTAAATGATCAGCAAATGATTATTGTCAAATATAAATGAAATTATTATATTGAATTATTGTAAATCATAAATTGTTCTTTATTATAATTGTATTCAAATATTCTAAAACTAGAAAAATTCTATATTTTCTAGATAATACAAATAATAATAACATATAATTACGTGGATTCGTTATAAAATCATAAAATCGAAACTCGATTATACGATTATTCAAGTACTTATGAAAAGCAATATTTAAAAAAAAAAAGTTTATTCTTCATATTTTTATTGAATGTGTCTATGTTAAAAGTAAAACTGTCAAAAAAAGTTCCAATGTCTATATAAGTATTCAAAATTTAATTCTATTGATTTTTGAAATGTATTTAAATCTACAATAATGTTTAATAATTATACAATTTGGTAATATATAATAATCACAATAATCATTAATTTGCATTTTATATTAATCTAATTATATTTCACATATGACATCAATTAAATGTAATATAAAATCTATAATTACTAATCATGTAAAAAAGCGCTACTATTGAAATTCCAATCAGAAAAGAGAAATAAATTTTCTTATATTTATATAATATAACGACATAAAGGCTTTAATAGTATTCACATATAATATACGTGTCCGTTTTAATAATTTCTATAAATAGTCCTAATATATTTGAAATAATTATAAAATAATTACAAACTAATATTTGTGTCAATAATATATTAAAGGAATCATTAATTTACAGTTTTTAATATAATCACTTTAAATTTATAAATGTTACTAATTTTTTAGTTTTATTATTTTTCATAATATAGAAATGTTTTTTATTATTATTTTGTATTTTATTATTATTTTGTAATAAAAATATTACAGGTTATTTTATAAAAATAGTAGTTGTAACATTTATTCAAATAAATATTATCAGTTATTGTAATATATTCATAACAATTTATCTGTTTCAAAGGGCTCAAAAGGGCTGGATTAATATATAATTTAATTTTTACAATTTTGAAAAAAGAAACAAAATTATCATCTATACAAATATAAAGTATAACTACTTATGATATAAAATACTTATGATATATAATTAGAATATCGTGAAAAGAAATTAATATTTGCTTGATATATGTATCTATATATAAATATGTGTAAATTTATATGTCAACTAAATTAAATATATCATTTTTGTATGATCAAATCTTAATTTTTAAATTCATAGTTTGTATGGGAATATCAGTTCTTGTATATTTTTTGTCATATATTTTTTTAAATTAATGTCTATAATGTTCTAAACACATTAAATTGTGTATAAATTATAACAATTACATGATTCATACAATAATATGAAAGTAAATTTAATAGGAATTAGCAACTAAAAACCACTACAAAAACAATTAAAGTAATCATTTTTAATTTAGTTTACAATGACTTTGAAAAATAAGATTTTTTGTTTATATTAAAATTTATATAAAAAAATTATTAATATAAATAATATTAATAAAATAATAAATTAATATAAAATGATTTAAACTTCATTTAAATCAGATAAAAATTAATAATTAAAAAAGAAGTTGAGTGCATAAATATTTTAATTAATTAAAGTATTGTAATATGATAATTGTTTAATATTAATATATTTTAAAATTTTATTGTTTCAAAATTTCAAAATTTCAATGCTTTAATTTTATTTCAAAATATAATTCTTGAAAACAATTAAAAGCAAAATTAAATTTGAAAACAAGCCAACCATTCTTTGTCCTTTTATAAAATTGTTGAGTGAGCTTAGACAAGATTAATGAATATACGTTCTAACAAACCTATAATAAAAAAGTAATAACATTTAGAAGCACTACTGTAAAAAAATATATAGGAATTTGCACGTTATTTAATCACCTTATTTCATTGTAACTAGTCCAACAGAGAAATCTAGAGAGCAGCAGTGTCATTAACGCGTAATACTTAATCTGAATGTTCATTATGAGAATCAACATATGATACTGGGTATGAAAAATATAAACTAAACTCGGAGTATATAACTTGAATTTGATAGCAAATACTTCTGACCGGATCCGATACGGGCAGGCAAATAACTTAATCTTACAGACTCTCAAAAAATTTAAATCAATCACACGTCACACACGACATCAATCAACAACATGCAAGGTTCGAGGAACTATAAAACATTTTGCAATATTTCCGAGCTTAATTCTAATACTCTGGCTACCCAGTAAGTACATAACATCTTTCAAATCCTTTCCATAGTGTATTTCCTGGGATTCATCATTATTTTTTTTATATATCATAAATAAATATTTTTTAATTAAAGGAAATTGTTAAATAAAAAGATTCAGATGCTGTTGAAATAGTCTTTCAAATCATCTAATATATAAATATAAATAATGCAGTCATAAAAATACTATTCAAAAAAGATAATGAAACAGAGACAACCGGTATTGTTTTTACTTATTTAATATCTAATCATATCGAGATTCATTATCGTAAAAATGATATTGAGATACTGTATACTTATATAAATGATTGCATGGTAAAAATATTATGAAATAATTATACTATATAAATAATTAATTTAAACAGTATATACTTAACACAATATTAAACATATATTCTCAATTCATCGATTTATTATTTATCCTCAAAAAATTATTTATTAAATAATTAAAATTTCAAATATAACTAAATAATACATTAAATTACGTGAATTTTGTTTCCACTGTCAATACTAGTATCACACTGTTTTAATTTTAGCTAAGAAATTAGTAATTATTATATATCTTAACAATGAACATGAAAAACTGAGAACATAAAATTAGTAAAAATTGTTACATTTTTTGGAAAATATTCAAATTTTATTCAATCAAATATTAAATATATACATTCATATTTTAATTTTACTAAACTTATCCATTTTTTAAATTAATCATAAATTTTAAATTATACATAACATTATATGATATGTGCATATACCTACAAATAAAGTAAAAAAACATATTTATCATAATTTATTACTCTATTTTTTAAAAATATTTTATCTTATAGACAATATACTTTAAAGAAATATAATGAATTTATATTAAATTTTTTGTATGTTCATAATAACACATTTATGTTTAAAATTTTTAATTCTAACTTTAATCCTCTAGGTTTTATTTTCGATTTTATTATCTACACAATTTGTAAACTATGTACGTCCACAATTAAAAAATTGCTTAATAAAATTATATCAATAATACTTTAAGTAAATGTTATATTTTAACAATCCTTAATTCAAATAATGTGAAATCTTATGCTTTAGCGACTAAGATAATAATAACAATATCTAATAATAATTTATACAAAAAATATTTTTAATACATTATTTCAATTTTTAAATTCTTGGAATATCTGAAAATATTTGTGTGTACTTAAAAAACGAATTTTATTTTATATTATTTATCATTCGAATAAATTTATAATTTAAGTAATAAAACTTATTATGCATTATTCACAATTCTGGTGAAATATTGATTTTTATTAATACTATATTTCATAAATACGTATTTTCTAAAATAAATTTTAAATTTTAAATATGTGGATAAAACATGATATAAATAACATGAAATAAAAATAATTATATATTTTAAAATATATTTCTATGGTTTTGTAATTAAATAATACTAATAATATTTTAAAAGACTATAAAAAGTAGTTAACTTTACTTGTACTTTTTTACTTATTCTCTAACCGGACCTTAATTAAATCGAAACTCCAATATTCATGCACATAGAATACATATAAATCTCGTTTTGTATAAATAAAAGATACACCGAATTTAAAATTCAGCCTTTTTTTTAGTTAAATATAATATCTTTTTCACTGGATTAATTTTAGCTATCACAATATAAATTTAAATCCGATATCTCATAAATAAAAAATCTAATAAGTTTTTTTATAAACAATAAAGTTTATTGATCTGGTAAAAAATATAAATATTTTCATATATTTTATTAAACTTTAGATAAACTAAATGTATTTAATCCAAGAACAACTATTCATATACTAAAATCTAACTCTTTCATCATTTAAATTTGTACTATCACCGAGAGAAGTTATTTTATTTTTATTTTTTTAATTTGAATACTATTCAATTCATTCGTTGAAAACTATAACATACAATTTTTTATTTTCAAAATTTATTTATTTACAAATTTTTAAATATAAAATGAAATTGTTACCCAGTAATGCGTACATTCTGCTTTAAATAATTTGAATAAATCTCAATATTACAATGTAATACATATTAGTGTATAAAAATCGATAATTATTATTGTTAAAGTTATCAATTATCATTAATTAGCTAAATAGTAATAATATCTTTAATAATGCCAAAATATTTATGTGTAATACAAGATTGGATAGTAATACTTTTTTTCTAATTATATCAATGATATCATAATAATATTACTCATTTTTATTAAATTATTAATGATGAAAGTCACACGATTTAAAATAAATAAAATGGTTCTATAAAATAACATTAATCGTTGTATTATTTATTTTCCTTTAAATTTTATTTCCGATTCCGAATTATAATTGATTTTTTATTTTTCTATAGTATTAAAAATAAATAATAAACTATTTATCTTAATTTTGTTGATTCTTATGGTTACCTTCAATTATTTAAAATTTTTTTAATAATTTGAAAAATTCTTGTATTATAATTATATCTATTTTATTAAAAAAATTGAAAAATATACAAAATTTGATATTATCATTCGAAGTGTATAAGTGAATAATATAAGTATTCATGATAAAAAAGTAAAGCAAAATATACAGAAATCATATTTAAGATATTCAGTATAATTTATATTTTGATTGAGTCAACTATAAAAATTTACTAATAAAACTAATAAAAAGTAATAAACTAATAAAAAGTCACTAATAAAAATTTTAATTATTCTTAATAAGAATTATCAGAATATTAGAAATATAAAGAATAATAAGTTCTTTTTAATAGTAACGAGAATGCACTAGTATACTACAATATATATTTATAGAATTATCAATATTTCTCTATAAAACTCATAATTTATTAAAAGTCAATTTCAGAATGATTTGTTGAAGTTATTGTATTAGTTTTTATTTTATAATTAATAATTATTAAGGTAAGTTTAAACTGTGAAATACAAAATTTAATTTTTTACATTTACTTTGACAAATTTATAATGCTATATTAATTATTGCTTGTATTTTACTGTGTTTAATGAAAATTAATAATATAATACATTTAATAATATAATAATACATTTAATAATATAAGTTTAATAATATCTATACATTTTCACTAGTAAGCTTATTTATTAATTTTTTTTAACGTTCTTTAATAACGTTATCAAAGACTGCATTTTAAAAATTATGAGGTTCAACAGATTATGTTTAAATAAACAAGGTCTTTAAGATAATAGCCTCAAAATAGAGAATGCAATGAAGTGAAATGTCGGATGTAGTCGTTTTCACTAAGTACTTGCAAGCCCATTTAAAATTGAGTAAAGATAATGAGAAAAGGTATAAATATGTTCTCAGAGATATGATAGACATCAGTCAGAATTAATAAGAAACTTGTCGAATATCTTACAAAAAGACAATAATATCAAGTATTCAACCCATTTATAAAAGCGGAAATGTGATAAATAGCACCATCTCTGTAACAGTGGAACTCTTAGCTAGTGCAGATTCGGAGGTGATATTAATTAGAGGATATTACATCGGTAACAAAAAGCACACGCACAAACCAATATCCCCTACTCTAGTTCATCAAAAGAACAGCTCGCATATACGGGGCAGAAAAAGTTTGGCCGCTGGTCGAGCGACCTGTACTCACACATAACGTACTGAGCGCCACTTGTCATAGCTGGATAACGCATATACAAGATAATAGCTAAGCTGCTTCAATGACGTATTGAAAAAGACTATATAAATTAGGCCTGACCGTCAATAAACCACACCCGCGATTTTTAACCTCAGACTTCGCAAAGGTTCCGACATCACGAATAGAATGATCAGGGACATAAGATTTCCGATATTAAGGATTACTATACGCATGAATTAGACTTATTCCTGAGAACATGTCGCGCTCGCACTCATCGCTCTCATTAATTTAAGATTCGCGAGTATATTTGAGATTTCGTTTCTCTTCGTCTTCGTTTTACGACTCAGTACGTGCTATATAACTTCCGAGAATACTGCTGATACGAACTTACCACTTTTTCACTATAGGCCATTTGTGATTCTTAATCTGTGATTTGTCCTTACTTATTTATGCTGTAAAACGCACAATTAACATCGCTACGTAACCATGGCCGAGTGAGTACAGACGCTTTATCCTTCCATAGGGATAACTCTTTACGAAAGAATATATTGATTCAAATTTTATTGTGCAATAATTTCAAACACGGCTAGTTATTGCCAATAATACGCATTGGACCTATACTATCAAATGAGCGCTCTTATTAATGCCGTTTTCAATCATATTGAATATTTTGTATTATTAATAAATCTTCATAAATTTTAAGTACAGATTTAAATTAATATAATCTATTTTGATTTATTAATTTTTATTTTCAGTTGTGTTTCTATTACAATTTTATTTTAAATGATATTTTATTATTTTACAAATCACTGTATTTGATTAAATTTATTATTTGTCGCAAAAGAAATAGGTGATAAATATTCATTATAAAATATTATTTTAATAAATATAAATAAATTTAAGTATGCATAATTTATTCTAATGAATCTCGATAAACTATATCTTGATTACTTCTATACTGAATTATATTTATTTCTAAGGTTGTTAAATTATCAATTACCAGTGAAAATAGTAATAAACTGTCCGAATAAAACACAAAAATATAAATCACTTTACAATGGACAATTTCAAAAAGTTAGGTATTTTAAACTTGCAGAAAGCAAAAATTATTTTTGAATTTTCTATTTTTACCATATCTATATGTATATTAAGTTTAAAAAATTCATTCAAATTATTAAAATAATAATTAAACTTTTATATTTATAAATCAGTATTATACCTTTTTTATAGCCTTTTAAATGAATATGTATTTTATGTGACGCAAATAATTTATATTTTTATATAAGATACTAGAATTATTCGCAACAATAAGCGAACAGTAAATTCGCATTTTACGACGAGTATTATTAATAACAGTTTTAACAAAATATTTGGAGTCATCTAAATTTTTCGAAGTTGCATTTGAATGATTGCCATTTTTAAAAATTAATTAGTTTTTGAAAATAATCATTTCTTTTTCATATCAATATCATTTTTATTTTTTACCAAATTACATTACAATTACATATATATTGAATATTGTATATGATTATCATAATTATAAATGATTATATTAATGAAAAAATAAAAATTTCGAGATAAATTGTTAACTTTTTTTATAAAAATGAGCAATTCAATAATAATAATATTTATATAATAGTTTCCAGTTATAGTTATATCCAGTAAATAAATTTAATTGAAAGTAATGAAAAAATTAATATAATTTTCTTAAAAATTTTTATAAATTATACTGCTCTACTAATCAATGTACAACATTTTCCAAAAAATATCATTCTAATAATTACATAAACAAAACTTTAGCTTTAAAAATATTTTGAAAATGTTACGTAGATCGGTTTTTATTATTTATGAATTTTTAATAATACAGTTATTAATTTTACAAAATACTAAATTAATAAACAAAACCATATCATTAATATTGTTATTACAATATTTAATGAAGATAATGTAAAAACTATTTGTCGCTCGTGATATAATTAAGTCGATCTTAAATCTTATTACAATGTAACTGAAAATTAAGAATGTTATATAAACAAATTTCTTAAATATTAAACTAATGTATAATAAAGTATTTAAATAATGTATCTGTATATATAATATATTATTTGGATATATAGAATGTATCAATATATGTGTAGAAAATAGTTTTGAAACTTTCATTATAATATTAACATAAGAATATAATTTTATTTAATTGGAAAATTGATTTATTCTTATTTTATGTAAATAATAATTATTAAATAATAGTTCATTAAAAAAAATTGTTTAGATAACAGCTTAATTATAAATCAAATAAACTGCACTGATAAAAAAGTTTTTTAATTACTTATATGTGCTTATAAATAAAAACACTAATATATAATTTTAAATCATATTAAATTTACAATAGTTATTAAAATAATATCAAAATCATAGTAATTTTTTACTTAAAACGAATATCAATCTGTAATAATTTTTTCCAATATATATAAGTTTATCTATTATTTAATACCATTTTTATTTATTCTATGCTAATTTATTTTTTGATAATTATCTCATATACATATTATAATTCAACAAAATTGGAAATATAATTTAAGTCCAAACTCAAAAATTTGTAGCTATTAAATCACATATAAAACTTTGGCTGAATGTTTAAAAAGTATAAGTATATAACACATTTCAGTACCAAAATTTTATTTTAATGTGATTCGAATTACCTCTTGGTATTGAAAATCCTAAATTTAGAACTACTTTTTACATGTTGCTATTGAAATCAAATTAATTCATGATGTATCAAGTATTTTAATATTAATTTAATTACAAAAAAATTAAACTAGCTTTTCAAATTGTAATATTTATAAAGTTTTACTTGAATTCTGATCCTGTACAATCGTAATTAATTAATTATATCGATAATTATATACTTACATACAAAATACTCGAAATTCATATATTCATAATGAATTTTCTTTATGAAAATTGTATATATCATCACTGTAACAATTATAAAGATGTCGCTTAGAACAAATGTATCCATTTAATAAAATTTATTATGATTAATTATAATATTAAAATAAAATAATATCAACAAATTATAAAAATAGAATAATTAAAAAATAGTTACAAACAAATGTTATACTAATAAAATATTAAAATGTTATATTTAAACAAATTTAAATATATTATATTAAACAATTTAAAAATATTTATATTTACTTATTTATACTATTATTTTTTAATACAGTTCATTATCTGTAGAAAACATTATTATACTATATTCATAATTAATAAAAATATAATTTCTAATTATTAATGCAATATTCAATAATAAAAATATTTATAATATTTGGAAAATAATTTTCATAATATATTGATCATTTGCATTAATAATGAATATATATTTATAATAATTAAATAATTAATACTTTGGAATATTATAAAATTGTATATATTTTTCTTTCTTTTATTTTACAATTATATATTTAAATTTTAATTATAAAATTCTTAGATTAAATACGATGCAAATATATGTCTTTAAAAATTTATCATAATTTTTGTACATTAAATTAGTTATAGTTGTGAATTAATTACTAATCATTATTACATTTTTGTTCAAGATATCTCTAAACATTTAATTATGAACTAATGGCATTGCATAATTCTGAAATTATCAGCTAATTATTATAAGCAAAAAAATTCAATGAATCGTATGAAAATATTATATTATACTAAAATTATAAAAAAAAGTTTTACCTATGATTATAATTTTTTTTTCAAAATAATTAAATGTATAAATATAAATTTGACAGTGTAATGTGTCAAAATACATTTATGTCTACATAAAAAAGTTTTTAAACTTTATATACATTCTTCATTCAAAATTAATTACTTCACAAAATATTAAATTGTCAGAAATACTTTTATAAAAATATAAGTGTGTGTAATACAATAATTTATTCAATATTTTATAATTGTTAATTTTTGTTAACTCCACCTTTATTTTTATTAATTTATTTTAATTTTAAACTATTAGCATCATGACTCTACTAATCCATTGTACCTTGTTTAGACAAAATTCAATAATACTTGGTGCTAAAAAAGCTGCTCTTGTACATCAAAAATACAATGCAGGAACACAATCTATCACAAATATTACTAATAAAAATCAAGAAAAAAAAATGAAAAAAATACAAGGTAGTCCGTACAGGCAAATTTTAGCTGCTTTCGTTGCTCAATTAGGAACTATTAATACTGGTATGACCTTTGGCTTTCCTGCAATAGCTCTTCCGCAATTGAAAGATGGAAATGGAACTATAAATATAAATTTAAATGAAGCATCTTGGATAGGTATGAATATATTTTAAATATAATAATATTTCAATTAAACATCTTTAAATAATTTTAAAGGTTTAGATTGGCTTAATTAGTTATCTATATGAAAACAATTTTTGTAAATACTTCTATCAATTTCTAGCAAGCTTCTCAGCTATTGGCACACCTATTGGCTGTTTTTTCTCTGGCTATATGATGGATATGCTTGGAAGAAAACTATCTTTGATTGTCACAGAAGTACCTGCTTTACTTGGTTGGTTACTGATATTCTATGCATCAGATGTTCATATGATTTATGCTGGAAGATTTTTTACAGGACTTGGATCTGGAATGGTAGGCGCACCAGCTAGAGTATATACTAGTGAAGTAACTCAACCACATCTTCGAGGTATGTTAACTGCTATAGCCAGTGTAGGAGTCAGTACAGGAGTTCTTATCGAGTATGCATTAGGTGCCATAATCTCATGGAATGTATGTGCAAGCATTAGTGCTATTATACCTGCAACTGCATTAGTTCTCATGTTCTTATTTCCTGAAACACCTTCATATTTAATTTCTATTAATAAACCTGAAGAAGCAAGAGAATCGTTAAAGAAATTTCGAAGTACTTCGTATGACCTAAATGAGGAAATGAACACATTGATAAATTTTTCTAATAAAAACAATCTTAAGAAACTTACTGGTTTTTATGAAATAGTAGTTGCACTAGTTCAACCAAATGCATTAAAACCATTCTTATTACTATTCCTTTATTTTCTAATTTATCAATGGACTGGAACAAATGCTGTTACATTTTATGCAGTGGATATTGTTGCAATATCTGGAATTCAATTAAACAAATATTTTGTAACAGTTTTCTTTGGTGTTATAAGATTAATTTCAACGATAGCTGCTTGTATTGCTTGTCGAAGATATGGAAGAAGACCAATGACTTTAATTTCATCTATTGGTTGTGGAATAACTATGATTGGACTTGGAATATATATATGGTTAAAAGAATATTTAGTTAATTACTCATGGATTCCAATTCTTTGTATTACAGGTTATTCTATTGCATGCACACTAGGATTTTTAGTTATTCCCTGGATAATGATTGGCGAAATTTACCCAGTACAAATTCGTGGTATAATTGGTGGATTAACAACAATGTTTGCACATAGTTTTGTCTTTTCAGTAGTCAAAACATACCCATTACTAGCAACATTAATTACACAACATGGAACATTTCTTCTTTATGGATGCATTTCATTGATTGGCACTATTTATTTCTACATATATTTGCCAGAAACTAAAAATAAATCACTCCAGGAAATAGAAGATTTTTTTTCAGGAAGAAACAATGATTTAAAAACTGGAAAAATAAATATTAAACCAAATTTTCTGCAAGTGAGAAAGGGCCAAGTGCTTCCATAGTTATAGATTTATGTAATATTATAATGTTTTTAAATAATTTTTAATACGAATTTCACAATAATTAATGCCATAAAAATTAATTGTTTATTAAATTAAAAGAATATAATATACAAAGCATCAATATTCTAAACTACAAAAATAAATTTGTAATTTTATATATAAATAGAAAACTGTAAGCATTAAATATATTTTTAATTTGAATTCTTTTAAAATATATATGAAATAATATTAAGTAGTTTCTCAAATGTCACCTTAAAAGGTGTTAACTTCAAAATTCCAATAAAATGTAATTAATATTTATTAATATTATGAGTTTTCACAGCCAATCAAATATATACATTTCAAAAAAATTAAAATTAATATTCCTTAAACCAATAAGTAATCATTGAAAATATAAAATATAATAACCATAGTGAAGATAATTTAGAATTTATTTTTTAAAAAATATTTAATTTTACAATCATTAAATATTTATTATAACTATTTTTCATTTATATTTTTTAAAAATATGAATATGACTAATTTTATATTTATATATCTTATATAAATATACATATAAAATATTACAATAAAAATTATATGAAATTTTACAAATGTTAAGTATTGTAATTAATAAGCATAAAATGTAAGTTATATATTTTTGTAAAAAATAATAAATGTAATAAATTATTAAAGATTTAAAATAATTTATTTTAAGATTATAGTTTAATTTCAATAAAATATATTAGTTTTACATTTTGAAATATATTTATTATCAAATTGACAAATTTATTTACATAACATATATTATATGAAATCATTCAAGTTTTAATCTATAATTATGTAATCTTTGTTTATATCTTTTCTGTCTTTCCTTTTCTTTGATAAATTTTAATATCATTTCCTCAGGTAAATATTCTCCCCTATATTTATTTGGTAATCTAGTTCTTTTTAATAATTCAATACGTTGTTCAACATATTTTTTTGCACTAAATTTTACAGCTTTTAATGTCATCACCTTCAGTTCTGCCTCAAATATTTTTTTTTTTAATTGCTTTTTTCTTACCTCTTGTTTTTCTATTATAGCTCGCATTTTTTTGAGAAATTTTTTCCTTTTATGCTTTTTAATTTTTTTTCGCCTGATTACTATTAATCTTACAGCTTGTTTTTCAATATTAATTTTTTTTGGTATTTCAATAATTTTATTAGGTACAATATCTACTTCTACGATATTTTGTTTTATTGGATCTTCAATTACAAATTTTGATTGTGTTGGACATTCGACAATTTTATTTTTAGTTAATCGATTAATTTGATTACTAAATTGAAGATTAATACATTTCTGTTTTAATACAATATGTTGTCGAACCAAATTTGGAAAAATTTTTTCTTGTGATAAAATTAAAGAAAGATTTTTCGATACGTTTATTCGCTGTGTTGAAAAATATATACGGTTATTAACTTCTGAAATATATTAAATTATTAAATACTTATTTATCTATTTCTAAAATAATTAATTTTATAATTATATAAAATGTGGTCACAAAATTTTAATCATACCTGCTTCAAATATATTAAGCGAACGAAAACATGTTAATAATCTATTTAAAGCCATTATTTAAAAAATAAAATTTATGAAAACGCTGTGTGAACCTTTTATCATTGTCCCATTCTGATGTAACACATAACAGTCCAAATCTAAAATTCTATCCATAACAAAGTAAAAGCGCCAAATTATAAAAAAACAAATTTCAATTTTTAAAACAGTAACTCCTTATAAATGTGAAAATCTATATTTGTATTATTACAAAAATTGACACTCTTCGTTTAAATAAAATCAATAAAATTTAATGTCGGATACATCAATTATAAGTTATTATTTGAATAAGTTATGTTAAAATGAAATTAATCATATAGATAATTTTCTAATATAATAAATCAAGCAATTCTATTAATTTAAATTAAATTAATATTTAAATAATAAAAATAATAAAAATAATTATATTTCATTTATTAATTACTATTTTAATAAATAATCGTTCTAATGAAAATTTATTTTGTTTTTATATAAATATTAACAGGAAATATTTACAGAAAAATATAATACAAAAAGCGATATATTGATACGCTCAGCGTGAAAGTATGTAAACATATGAAACATAAGCCATGATCCTCAAGGAAAAAATATGTCCATTATGAAAGGTTTTATAAAAGCAAATGTATGAGGAAATAAATGATAAGCAACGTTACTTAAATAAACTAAAATATCAATAACATATTTTATAAAACTTTATTTTTAAATGTTTCATTATCCATGATCAAAATTATGCGAAAGATTTGTATATAAATAAAGAATAAACGGTAATAGCGCTAAAAAAATTAGTTTTAAGTATAAAAATATGAATCTCGTAAAGATAGATGATGTAAGTAACAGTTTAATAAGGTGAATCAAAATTTCAATAAAAAAATCTATTTTTATATAATATATAACAAATTTGATAGGGTGAACATAGAAACACAAGGTGAGAAGATTTGTAGAGAAAATTTCTTCATAGAAAAATACTTCTAATATAATTCAACATTTACTCAATGCATAAAAAAATATGTACAGATAAATGTAACAGAAAAATAAAAATTGAAAGACCCTTAGAAAAAGGCTACAAAAAAAATAAAATATAAAAAATCAATTTAAAAAGAACAAATAATAAATAAAATAAAATAATGTATTTTAAAGTGCCAATATCAAATTTTATAAGAATTCAAAGAAATCTTAAAAAATAGTAGAAAAATATTTAAGAAAACTGATAAGGTCGAGCCGTCAAATATCAGTTAACTAAAATAAATTTGTCAAATATTAAATTAAAAAAAATTTATTATTATAATAGGCTACGATTATTTAATTTATAAATACTAATGTGTGTGAAAATTGCTGTTAATATTATTTCTTACGACAAATTTACACTATTATATTAAGAACAAGAATAATGAATATTATTACACATGTAATAATATTAAAAATATAAATTATTTACATGACTTCGTAATAAATAAAATAAAGATTGCCTTTTTCAATGTTATAAATTTTAATATCACTTTACTTATGTTTATATATATATATTTTTATTATAATATTACAATGAAAATTTATAATTGAAATAAAAAAAATTATTTTAAATTAGCGTTGTGAATATTAAAATGCTTGTAATATAATTCACATTAAAAATCTTATAATTAATCGAATTTTAGTGAATTATATTATACAATATTTAACCAGATTTCTATTTAGAAATCTTAATTTTTTATGTAAGAGTTTAATTTTCATTTCTCATTTTTTTTACTTATTTATTTACGACATAAATAATTTGTGTTCGTTTTTAATCGATTATAAAATAGTACAGAATTTATTTAAAAATTGTAATTAAAAATAATTCATTTTTCATTTATATGCGGTTATTGCAAGATATGTTTATAATTAATTTTTAAACCTCATCTATGAATTCAGAATTACAATTTAAATGAATAGATTTGCAATTTTATTCGTAAATCTATACCCTTAATTTTTTTATTTAATCATAATGAGCCGCTAAATCCCTCATAGCTTTATTTCTCGATTTCTTTTAAAAAATAACAAAAATGATCAAAATTTTAATGTAATAGTTAAATTTTTATATTATATATTATATTATAATTTTTAGATAATAGTTTATATAATAGTTAAATATTTGTATTTACTTAATATATTTGTTTACAGTATTTTATTTTAAAAGACGAAAGTCTTTTTAATCAGTTAATATACATAAATATTTAAAACTGATAAATGTTGTGTTTTTCATATTTACAATGTACATAAAAAAATAGCTAATATAAATTAACCCCTTCTACTTATATTAAAAAAAGACAGTGCATGAATACAGGAATATTTTCTTGCGCATGTCTCAAATCCGTATTCAGTATAATCTAATTAATGACTGCTTGAAGCTTCAAAAATCCCAGTATGGGTTAGGGTTTCAAGATTTCATACATAAGTAACAAAAGCAGTTCGACGTACATATACATATTACACATGGCGTAAATAAAATTATTTGGGTTTATTAATTATCATTGTGTGCAATCTGATTACAGAAGCAATGGAAAGTAAAGTAACGAGTAAAACCAGTAGTTTGAAAGCACTGTTACTTAGAGCTTGGCGAGAAAGATGGAGCGATCTTCAATGGGGAATTAATATTAAGACTGTAAGTGTGAATAGATTGAATGTAATATATATAAAAGTGAATTTTAATCAATAAAATAATATTTCAGATTTTACCTAGAGGAGTAAGTGGCGATGTACATAATTTAGCTGACTGCATATTGCAGCAAGCCTTAGTTGGTCCAGGACCTAATGAATTAGTACTTTCATATCTTAAACATTCACTTTGTTCTCAAGTATGTTTATATAATATTGCATTTTAATTTTGAATGAAATGAATTTAGAATATATAAGATAGCTATTCGTGTATAATTTTTAGCTAGTATCATATGCAGCTGTACTTCAAAGGATAAGCAAATATGATGCTTTTCACAAGCCACACTGCATTGTCAGTTTATTAGAATTTTTATCAATGATATATGTTGGCATAACTTGTCGTGGTAAACCAGAAGAAGATCTTTTAGCAGCGGCAAGTCTTTCAATTGTATATTGGTTATTACAATGCTATAATTATGCTATAACCAAAGCACCTCAGGGCAGCCCTTTAACTCCACAACCTTTTGAACTTATGAATAAGCCAGCACACTTATTAAAAGAGCTGTTAGCTTCAGATTTTATTTGTGCTATGTTATACTCTGCTAAGCATGACAATAAAGGTAAAAAGACTAATATTTCCATTATTTTTATTTAATAAAATATGTGTAACAAAACAATTATTTAACTTTAAATAAGAATCTATACAATATATTTAAAGTTCATTAAAACAAGTTTAATTATGTTGTTTAATAATATTAAAATAAATTCATTATTATTATTATTATTCATTCAAATTAAGATATCAAAAATTAAACTTTTATATTTAACAGATTTATATATAGATATTGTAAAAAAATGTCAAGAAATAGAAAAGGAACAACAAAAAAGTAATATTAAATGTTTGATACCAATAGAAAATTCTCTTAAAAAACTTTGTAATTTAGAAATAGATAATATAGTTTCAAAATTTGTGAAAGTTGATGCAGAACCTATCACTTATTGTTTACAACCTTTATTAGCAGTTCAAAATTTGGTTAACCCTAGCACAGAAACATCTACTTACATAAATCAGTTACATTTGATTCAAAGATTAAAGAACTATTCTAATGCAAGACTATACTGTGAAGTCATTCGTGCATGTATGATGTGTTTACACGATGTCACAGGAACTTTCAAAGAATCACATTGGGGAGGATTTACAGTTTTGAAATTGCCTCAAATTTTGAAGGATCTCCATGCAAGTATGTTAAAAATTTGTTTTATTAATAATATATCTGTTTTTTTTTTTATTTTATTGGAAGCACATTTATTCATTTAATTTATTTAGGAGAAAACGAGAGTTTTGAATATTCTCAAGATGTGATTGATGCTTTTGAGTTGCTACTTAGATATACACCACTTTTAGATAAAATGGACATTATATGTGCTGGAAATAGTATTGAGTTCTTATTAAATGAATTACATAAAGTAAACTTGGTTACAGAAAAACAAGCTAAGCATATAAGTAGTAGAAGGTAGAATATATATATTTTTAAGTAATCTTTGTTATTATCATTTATATCTATTGAAAATAAAATATCTGTGTTTAGAGATGGTTTACTAACAACTTTACAAAAATTTGATTCACTCAATATCAGTTCATCAATTCGCACTGTAATAATACGAGCAGAACCAACTTTAGCAGGATTTTTAAAAACTCTTAATGCTGAATATACAAAAATCCAAGATGCTTTATTGAGTATGCTTTGTCAAGTATTGACTGGAAATAGTTTTGAATTAATGTTATCAGTGGCAACTGTAGAAGGAAAAATGAAAATTTTTGTTTCTAGGTTAATTAAATGTAATGAATGTAGTAAACAAATTAATGAAGTACCTGGAAAAACCACAACTCGTGCTCTATTATTTGAAATTTCATTTTTAATGCTATGTTCTATAGTTCAAACTTATGGTCCTGATGTAAGTATTGCTATATTATACCATACATTTCACTTTTATATTTTTAATTATTTCATTTTGATTCTCAAGGTAAATGATATAGTTTTGTATGTATTATTTCGATTTTGTGATTACAAAATTTATTTATATTCATCGGTGATAGTTGTATTAAAATTAATTTTCACGAATTCATAATTAAAAATAGTTAATCTAAACTAATGGAGATAGGAAAGAGAATAAATTAAAAATAGAATTATATTTTGCTTACAAAATAAATTTAAAGAATAAACTATGTTATATTATAATTAATATCAGGTGGTATTGGAGGAAGGTGGCGATTCATTTTTTGAACAGTGGATGCGTGAATGTATGCCCCTGAAGGATAAGCCAAAATCTCCGTATAAGATGCTTCAAAACATTGATTCAACGAAAGTTGATTTACTTTTGGCGCAAACAAATTCAGTCGATCCAGACCTGAAATCGAGTAATACCAAGTGGCATGTAGCCTGTCAATCAGCAATGGGTGTCGCCAAGGAGCTTCTTTATGCCTGGGAGAGTGGGGCATTAAGCGCTGCAGATGTTAAAAGATCACTAAATGGGCTCAGGTCCTTCTCTTGCTGCTTACCAGTTTGCGCAGCGGCTTGGCTCTGCACTTATATGAGCATAACTCATCAAGATGCACTACTCAAACCTATGAATATGGTACAACAATTTCTGACTCCAATAGCCAGTGATGAGATGCAGGATAATTTTAAAGAAAGGTAAATAAAATTGAATACTTATTAGATCTTCATTTTTGCACAAGCATATTACTGTATGTGTATAGTCACTTTACAGAAAATAGCAATAATACATATAAATTATACCCCTTTAATAATATTAATAATAATTTCTATTTAAATGTAAATTAGAATGTTGCTATTATTATATTTGGTATATTTTATCATCAATAATATACATATTTAAAAAAAAATTTGAGTATATATTAATATGTATCTATTTATAATTAAGTTTAAACAAATATATAAAACAAAGATAAAGGTTTAACATCTTATACAAATTTTTCAATCAATAAATCAATAATTAATTACGATAATATAAATTAATAAGGTAAATAAATTATTTTATCATATTAATTTATCATATTTTATTTTATTTTATTTTATCATATTAATTATTAATCATATTAATTTGAAATAAACAAAAGCAAATACGAATACAAATTTATATTTTTTATATATTTTTAATTTATTAACCATGCACATATTTGAATAATTGTAAAAAATATATGCATGAATTACATAATGTTGGGCATTAAAGTCCTTTAATTTAAAAATATAAATTATTTGTAAATTTTATTTTATGTGTTTATATAACGAATTGACAAAAAAATTTGTAATTGATCTCTAAAAAATTCAAATTTCTACTATAGTAGACTAATAACATATTAGAATAGAGTAATAACATATTTATATAATTTCAAGCTTCTTTAGGTTATTTAAAATCAATTTAGGTTATTATCAGTTTATCTAATAGAAATTTTTATTTATAATGGAAAAAATTTATACCTTACTGCACTTGTTATGTTATTAAATTAATTTAAAAAATACTGCAAATATCAAATGTCATTTAGTTCAATTATAATTAATCTCAAGCAATGTAAAAACAAAATTAATTTTATAATTACCTAATCTCTTAAATATAACTCCTATATAATTTATTAATTATATAGGTCAACATTAAAAATAAATTATTAAATCGCAATTTATGAAAATTTTAATTGACTTATTTTTGCATAAATAACTTTATATGTTAGATCGAGTTTAATGTTTCAAATAATTCGTAAAATGCAGTATGAAATTCATCCACCAACTCAATCAAAAACAAAAGTGTTATCTGTATCTCACAGGTAAATTAAATTTTTTCACTACTTATTCCAATATCTTTTTATTCTTTTATTATACAAGTAATATATTACAGTATAATATCAAAATTTCCAATTCTGGAACAACTGCAACAAATTTGGCAAGGAATTTATCAACGTGGTTGGATAAATATACAAGCCACACAATCTTTAGAATCTTTATTAAAAACTGGAGGTCCCTTATGGTTTGTTTCAAATTTAGTTAAAGAGTTGTTAAAAATTCAGTATCAAGAAGAGCTTGATCGTTCTTTAGATTTAATTTTTGCAATTTTACATCTTGATATTGAAAATTGTACATTAGATTTAATAAATCATGTATTACCACAATATTTATACAATTCATTACAGTAAGTATATATCATATTTGAAAAATAATTATATAAAAATAATAATTACCTAATGTACATTGTAGAGGGAAAAAGTTAGTTGAACCACAGTCATCAGCTCTTGCAAAACTTTGTGTGTATTGCATCTTTTCAACTTTAGAATATAATAATAATAATAATCCACAGCAAGTAAATAATCGTAAACGTATACGAAAAGATATAGATACTGAAGACATGGATATTGGAATGCCGGCAACCAAAATTTTACGACTAAATGAAGCTACCAATTCAAATCCAATATTTAGTTCAAATCCAGCTCAAATTCAAGGAATGATAAATGGACAGAAATGTATTGTTCTTCGAGAACCTTTGCTTACTACATTAAATGGATTATTTACAAATTTTAATTTTTTGGCTGGCAGAAATGGTGAAGTTTCTCAGCATACTCACTTCATATTACAATTTTTACAGTTAACAGTTCAATGTGGAAAAGATAGAGCACGTATTATTCTTCAAAAAATGCCTCAATCATTGGTAATGTACTACAAAATATTTACTTTACCCTTTAATAAATAATATCTTATTAATCTATCAAACTTATTCAATTAAAATTTAAGAAAATTTAACATAAGTAATGACAATCTATTAAACTCACTTGTTTAAATTTAAAAATTTTAAATATTCAACAATTTAAACAAAATTAATATTTACAGTCTTTTTATATATTTCATATTAATATTGTAGGTACCTAATTTGCTGAAAGCGTTACCAGAATTTTTTACAACAGACTTGCTCCTTAGATTATATGATATTCAAACTATAATGGGTCGCAAAGCTATTGCCAGAGACTTATGTTTGTTACGTAACATACAGTTGAAACCAACGAAATGATATATAAAATTTAATTTTATTACTTAAAATGCTAAATACAAAAATGTTTCATGTAAATATTTTTATAGATAAATTAAACAATATCTTTGTAATTTTGTATTTATTTTTTAAAAATTTTATTTGCAAGAATTAATTATATTTTAAAACTTTTAACTTATAAACTAAAATTCATTAAATTAGATATAATTTATTTAAAACAATTATTTATAATTTTTTAATAGCAAATCAGTGGCTGCCGTATATGCTGCATCTTTACCAATTAATTTTTCTACAATTGCTAATCCAAATTCAGATGAAAATGCAGGACCCATACTTGTTATTATATTATCTACAAATAAATTAATATAAATCAACAAAAAAAGAATAACTTTTTTGTCAAAATTGATGATTAGCTTTACCATCAATAACGACTACTTCACTGTCATTATAATTATAATAATCTTTCAGATTATATTTTACTGACGGATGTGAAGTAATTTGTTTTCCTTTTGCTATTCCATGTATTCTTAAAACATTAGGAGCAGCACATATAGCAGCTATAATTCTATTTTCTGATTCATGTATTTTCAATATGTCACCAACTCTAGAAGACTAAAAGAAACATTTTTTTATTGAAATCATAAATTATTTTAATAAAGATCCAGAGTATTTGTTTACTGCAGCTAAATTTTTCCAGCCTGCACCACCTGGTAGTATTACAGCATCAAATTTTTGATCCTTAATATCTTCAATATTTGTATCTGTACAAATTTTTATATCTCGACTGCATTTTACACATTCTTTGTCAGTTATACTTGCAATAGTTACTGCCACCTTAACATAAATATTGGATATTAAATGTTAGAACCATTAAATTTTTTATTTAATATTAACAAAATGTTAAAATGTATAAATTTATTACTTATAAAATAAAAATGAAATATGCATTTGGAAATGAAACTTAATTGTAGCAGAAGTATTTAATAATAAGTATATATAAACATTGTATTTATATTAATAATGAAACCGATAAGGTTAAGCATTGTTTTACCATTTACCTTCGCACGTCGTAATATATCAACTGTTACAACTGCTTCCATTTCCTCCGCATCTTCAGCTAACAAGCATAGCGCTGTTTTTAGTGCCATTGTTAAATAATAATACACCTTAAACTTGTATTTTAAAAAACGTAGTTCTAATTTACTATATCGCTATGAAGATAAAATATAATCTGTAAAATAGTATATATACGTTATAAAAATATGACGTATATGCCATTTCCAGCATTCCGAAAATCTGTAACATCACATCTCGTTGAACTAAATACAAATTATAAAGAAAAATAGAGAACAAATTATAATTATTAAATCAATTCAAAATCAATAAAATTAAAAAACTTATTAAAAAAATTAATATATTTTTTTTATTAGAATGAATTATAATTTTTATTTATAATGAAGTTTGGATTGACTCGAATTTTAATTTTTATTTATATACCATATATTTTTGAAATGTAAAATATTTATAATAATGAAACGTAATTGAACTTGTTGAAACGTATGAGACTGTATTACACAAAATATAATATTATAAAAATATATTGTCATAAGAAAATAAACTTAGGATACCAATTTCTGTAGATAAGCTTATTGACTATTTAAATAATAGCAGAACTAGCAACTACTGAATTATACTTACACAGAGAATATTGAAACCTCAGGTTATAAAAACACCTAACAGTGAGAATAGAATTCAGCTCTTATTAATCATTTATGTTAATTAAATATTAATGACAAATTTAAATTTAATATTATAAATAAATTTGACTAAAAATAATTATTATCCAATAACTTTGAAAGAAATATTAATGTTACAATAAGAAAAAAAAAACAAAGGTAAATCACTGCATAATAGTTATATGATTCAGTAAATAAGAAAAATAGTGCTACAAATTTTTATATCGATTACCACAAACACGATAGAGCCATGATAAAAGTAATGTTCCAAACTAGTTAATTGGTGCTAAGTAAATATAGTATATTTTATTTGGTGCGAATGTAAATTAATTTACATGTCATAATTATCTGCATAAACGAATGATTTCCTTATTTATGAAAGCTATTCAAAATAATTATAATTTTATTTTGAACATATAATAAAAAGATGTAAAAAATAAACTAGCAGATTTTTTATCAGGAATCTAGGAATCGTAAGATTTTTATTACATGATGGATGTACTTAATTATTAGTCATATCGTTTATTCATAAGAATAGTAGAATTAAATTAAGTACTTTTTTTACACAAACAATTTTAAATTACTGGACGATTAGTTGACCTCGAGTTTATTTGCTATACTTTAAAATATCTGTAACTCAAAGGTATAGGTATAACAGCATATATATATCATAATTACAAGTATAAGGCGCAAGCTGCGTTCAATACTTATGCATACAATAGAAGTTGAATAAACATACAATGATAAAACAGACTATAAATAAAGCGGGCGTTATCGCCAAAACTGTTATAACTTATTGAAACGAGAGCGATAACACCAAATGTACGGAAGACATGATTACTTAAGAGAAAACATGATAAAGTAATTCTAAAAAAAGTTTTTAAAAGTGCTTGTCTGCTTTTTTTAAGATCTTGGGATATATTATTTATGCACTTTAATTTTAATAATGTTCAAATCGAAAGATACGTTTATTATACCTCTACATACATATATACCCGTAACTATTAGACTCGGTACAGCATATTAACTACACATAATGGTACATGAGAGATCCCCCTCCCCCTTAAACACGTCAATCGGGTACTTATAGGATTCCTTTTTTCATGTATGAGAACTTTGCGTCACTATCGCCAACATTAATACTAACCGCTACTGTTAGTGTATTATAAGAAGATATATTGCAAAATCTGACTGTGGAACATACAGACTTGAAACAACTCTCCCACGCACATCAATCCAATATTTGACGATAGCGACGGCATGTAGTCGTATTCAAAAAACCAGTCTCTCATCCAAATCTCTATTCCTGCTACAAACGAGTTTGACACAAAATGTTAAATGACTGTAAATGACAGTCAAAACTTTATTCCCTCTCTGGTGCACTCACTGATTTTTTGGCTACACTTTAATTTCTATTATTAATACACTATGTGGTAGAATTTTTAACATTTTCTTCTATTATATAATTTATCATCAAACACATAAAAACTATTGATACAGTCAACCTTTAATAAACTTATGTGCAATTGAATAAATCAATCATTTTTTTATTTGATATTTTTCAAATAATGTTTAAATAAATATCGATTTTTTGGCAATTTATTAAAATTGTTTGTAATCGTAAAATTGTGCTAAGAACAAGTATCGATGATATACATTTTTGACAATAAATTCTTTGTGTATTCAGTAATTAGAAGAAATCTAATAAATAGCCTAGAAATGTTATTTTCTTTTAATATGTAACTAATTAATATAATCGTTATTTAAAATTTAAACTAATATGAAATATTGATAAAAATAAACAAAAACGTATTTTCTTTTACCAAAATTAATAAACTTAAAATCCACAGTTATGAATTTTTATCGGATATTAGAAATTGAGCAATGACATATTCTACAATAACAGTTTTTCAATTTTTACTTATGAAATTACCAGAGTTCATTATAAATAAATTCATGAATTTTATAGAACAGTTCAAATCAAGTCAATTTATGAAATGAATTGAAAATCTTATATTATTTCAAAATAAAAATCATTTTATAATTAAAAAAAAAATCCATTTAAACAAAACAAACAAATTATTATATATGGAGCTAAAAAAGAACTGTCCTATATAGTATTTCTATTATTTTTATTTAGCCACTTTTAATATTTTAAATACCTTATAAAGATTTGTATAAATAGTTCCATTGTATCTGAATTATTGTTAAGAACACTGGATTTATCAATACGTGAATTTACGCGTGTATAAATAAGTTTGCATTGATATAAAATATGTAGAAGCTGAACTTACGTGTAAAAATTTGAATTTTATTTTACTTATATAGTGAATTGATTACATTATGATAGATGTTAAAAATAAGCGTAAAGCAATTTTTGAATATTAAAATAGTGCATAAATAAAAAATATAATCACTAATATCAGTCGTTAATTAATTTTTTAAATGAAACGAGTATGATTTACATACTTTTAAGAAAATATTAAAAATTTATCTTTATTAAACATCACACAAATAAATTAATATTCAATGGAATTTATTTTTCTTAGGAAAGGTATACCATAGTTTTCATTCTTTTTATACTTAACAGTAGTGACTTAACTGAAATATATTTATTGACTTTAAAATATATTTTTAATGGTTGTATTATTTTTATTATTTATCACTTTTTAAATGAATGATTATTACTTTATAAATATATCATTGTGTTTTAATACTCATAAATATATTAAATATTTAAATTTGTTTCTAACTAAATATAGATATTTTCACGTTATTTATTATAAATGAAATTAATAAATTATAATGCTTCAAAAATTTTTTGCAGTATTATTTTTAAATTAAAAATAAAATTTAATTAAATGGTATGCATTCATAATTAATTACGAAAAAATAATCTATTTTTTATGCTTTGTGTCTTACTTTTATAATCATTAATAATAATAAAACCATATATTGAAGGGTTAAATAATTAATTATAGTATTAATACATATATAGATATCTCTCTCTCTCTCTCTCACGCATACCTCACTCACTTACACTCACAAAATACATTATTAATTTTAATATTACGATAATTTTTATAGCATTTAAAAAATATAAATAAAGTATTTGATATGTTATATTTTTAACTATAATAAATCGCAATAGAAATATATTTAATATTTCTTGTACAGTTCATTCAATTACTTTTAAATTCATCTTGAATAAATTTAGTATATTTTAAAAGTACAAAAATATTTCTTTCTGTGCTCATGATGTAATATTTGTAAAAAGAGAAATAATTAAAGAATGAGCTTGCTCATAAAATAATTCTAATTAATTTTAAAATACAGATCGATTATAGTAAAAACAATTTAAAAAAAGGTATGAATAGTAAATAAATTCAAAATGTCATAAAAAATATTTTCAGTTCTCACTGAGACATCTTTGGCAATATTTAATTTGTCATTATTAAATCATGTAAATATTGTATTCTAAGAGTGTAGATTTCTTTACAAAATTATTAGCTTGACCCATCCCTTTAAAAATACATTGAAAATCCGAGGCATCCAACACAACACGGCCACATTTTGAGAAAACTGAAGCTAACCAACCACCCAGTATATGTAAGTAGACAGCAGTATATAATAGTAAGCGACCGTCACAATTCCTCTATTCCACTCTACTCTTTTTTCTCACTTTAGTGTGAGTAAGAAAGAACGAGGTACTTGGGCGGGCAGCTAGCGGACTCACTTTGAGAATAACAAAACTGGAGTCAGCGTGTGAGACGAGGACGGAACTAAAAACGTATGGAAGAGAGGAAACTCGGAAAACGAAACCCGAAACGAAATATACGCACACGGGCTTATCCATGCACAAATATAGTGCAAGATGGCGACATTTGGATATTGTGGGTGCTGGTGCTGAAAGTCGAGAGATAATTATTTTCCTGAAAAAGAAATAAAGAAGTACTGAAGTGCTCAAACGTCTTGTATTCACCCGCCCTCTTTCTTCCATCCATCAGCCACCCTCATTGAGTCGTCGAGAACAAGAAGCATCGAAAAAAAGAGCTGTATTGCATGGCGCTCGACAGCGGTGCTCCGTGTGCTATGTGCTTGCGATTCTCGTCATCGTTACTATTGTTGCTTTGACTATTAATATTACCACCCTGCAGCCGGTGATCTATTTTCTGGTATCGGCAAATAAAACACTATACATCAATCTTACTGGACGCAGAGGTGTATGAGTCAAGGCACCCTTCCCCTTCATTACCCCTAATATCCTATTCGTTAGTGGGGTAAGTCTAAGAGCTTCGCTGTTATCCGAGCGTATCGTCTAACCAGAGCCGTTGTCGTTATAATTGCGGTAAACGACATTGAAGAGGAACATCTTGCTCGTGCGAAGCGCTTGGTGCTAGAGTAACGAAGATAATCAGTACATAAAGTGAACAAGCGAACTGATAGGGAGAAAGAGACAAAAAGAGAAAGCAAGAAACAAAGAGACAGAAAGAAGCTGTGAAGACAAAAAACAATGCGAGGAACGCGCCGTCGCCGTAGCTCCTGTTAGATATTTAGGGCCACTGCTGCGTGTTCTTTGGCCCACTCGGTAAGTTATTTATCATTAACTTAACTTTTTCTTGCAATTTTTTAAAATTTCTACCTTTTCATTAAAATATATGTTTTCCTTAGTTTACGTTTATTACATTTATTCGTTCCTTTTCTATAAGTAGCATTAGTGCACGAGTAAGTACGGAGTTTGAGTGCGCACACTGTGCGTGAAACTTCTCCCTTGTCTTTGCATAATATACATTATCAGAGTATACAAGAGTTTTGGAATATATATTTTTTGTTTTCTTTACTTACAATTTTTTAAAATTAGCTTTTCTGTTCGATTTTATTCATGGCCATCATAGTCAGTAAACGTTGTGCCAAGATGCGTGTGTAAACGAGTGACAGATTTGACGCGTTTCTTCTCTCTCTTCTGCTGCGTTGCTATATCAACCTCTTCATTTTTTGGGCTCTGACGCACCAATCTGTCCCTTTCTACATTTTATATATGCATTTCTTTTCTCTCTTCCTTTCATACACCTTCTGATTTTCACTTCCTCTCTCTCTCTCGCTCTCTCTCACTTCAATTTCTTCTTTCTCTCTTTTTTTGTCTCATCTCCATCCGACGCAAATATATGAATGCAAATGTAAATCGTGTATAGGTGTAAGAAGCAGTCTCGAAAACATACATGATCTCTGCTATTCAGAATAGCTTTTCGTAAAAAGCGAGCAATTTTCGTAGATATTTTAGAGATCCCGAGTTTCAATTAATGCATTTCTAGGTAAGAGGAGAGAAAGAATGAAATATATCTGTGGGTAGCATATTCAATAAGAATTAAAATAAGAAAAGGAAGAGGTGCATGTAATTGGCACAGGATATATGAAATTTCATGATAAACGAAAATGTGCCCTTTGCTTCATAGGCGGAAGCTATAAAACGATACCTTTTTTAATATATATATATATATATATATTACTGAATATTAACTCTTATTAACGCGCGCGCTTTCTTTGCAATTCATGTTTATGTATTGTTTACAGTTTTTGCCTTGGTTAGAACCCACTTTGATCGTAACATTAAAAAAATTATTTTACTAGAATGATCAGATCTGCTAATTTTTGTTTTAATAAACAACTATCTAATTCTTTTATTAATTATATACCGCATTGTATGAACAGTAAAGAATATCTATGTGATACCTCATACCTACAATAAAAAATGACATTCTTTTTCTATTGTTGTATAATTTAATATTAAATTGATTAACATCTGTAAATTCATATTTAATTTATATAAAGTTTTAAGAGTAAGAATATAATAAAATTTTATATAGATTTTAAGAGAATAAAAATATTTGTATAAAAAATATTTTCTTCAGTGTAATTAATGAATAGATTACATAATTATATATGTTATTTTTTAAATTATTAATAAATATTCTGTATTAAAACTATTTAAATTTTGTATTACAATAATTAGTTGGCTACAATATAATTACTAAAATATTACAAAAATAATTATTGAATATTAAGATTATCGTTAAAGCTTTTATTAGAAAAGAAGATTAGAATTATTAGAAGATTTGATTAGAAAAGAAAATTAATTTTCTTAGTACATAGCATATAAAAATAATTCAAATAGATTATTGAAATTCTGTTTATAAAATACTTATAGATTAAATATGTAGTTTAGGAGGTGGATGGTAGGATTTTACTCAAAAATCAAGATCAAAAGTAATCGAAACCCTGGAGGACAGTGGAGCTTTGGAGGAAGGGGAGATGTCAGCTGGAACTCAAGGCGAGATACGGGTTGGTCCATCACACCAGGTTTGCTCATTTCTCGATCAAAATTCCTTTGCCACATAGCTATACTGCAGCACAGCGTACCTAACTCAAGGCTTGTTTATATAACTTTTCATGTAATATATAAATATTATAAATATACGTGTACACATAAAATATCAATGTCAATTTTATTTGGTATAAATCTGTCTTGAGATTAATACAACAGAATCTTAGTAATATATACATACATGCAGACATACATCATACATACATACATATATATATATATATATATATATATATATATATACTGTGTGTTTTAATATACTTTTGTCATAGCTTATGTGTAAGACTGATATGTTAATTTGCAATTGACAATAGAGGATATTTATTATTTATAATTAATAATGTATTGAATATTATTTTTAATGTAGTTTATATAAATTATAATTATAATAATCTTGAAATTATATTCTCATAAAATATATTATTATGATTGTTATTGACCTATTTTTAGTTATTTAAATAATAAAGTAATTCTTTCAATAATTAATTTAATCGAAATGCAACAATCTGTTTAAATTTTTCTCAAGGCTAGAATTTTCAGTTTAAATAACTGACACTACTTTTTATTACTGTTATTACTGTGCTAAGCTGTCTTATTTATGTAAACATCACTTTTTGATAATTATATTTATAGTGATGACATTAAAATTAATGTATTTCTTAATGTATGTTTGAGTAATTTTTAGTTATGATTGAATAAACATAAAATGTAAAATTAAAGTTGGCGAAATTATTAATGCAAAATTACAAATGTATATATTAATAATTTAGAATATTTGTTTTGTTAATTCCTTTTGCTTTGCTTACATAATCCTTGAAAAACTGTGTTGTGTTGAAAAAAAGTTGTTTATATTTTTGCATTGGCAGATAGAAAGCAAGTATTAATGAAAGAAAAAAGCAAGAGGTGTTATATACATAATTAGAAGACAAGAGAGCACAATGGGTAGTTTAAAAAATCTCAATCTATATAATTTGGATGATTAAAAAAATATAAAGAAAAACAAGCTGGAGTATAGGTGCGTATGACTAACTTGCTTTCGCAGTGAAGCTAACAGCGCACAATCCCGGATTTCTGATACAGGACCTGGTTTCTTGCCAGGCCCATTTGCCTGAGTATCGGCCGGGTATCCCTCCTGGAGAACTACTTCCTGATCCAGAGTTTTCTAAAGAACGAGAGGAATTAAGATGGATTCCTGCAATGACATTGGATATGGACTTACTCATGTACCTGAGAGCGGCACGATCTGTAGCTGCCTTTGCTGGTATGTGTGATGGAGGATCACCAGATGGTTGTGTGGCAGCATCCCGAGACGATACTACCATTAATGCACTTGATACATTACATGATTCTGGCTATGACGCAGGAAGAGCTTTGCAAGCTTTATATAAATGTGCTGTACCCAAAGGCATTGATAAAAAATGGTCTGAGGAAGAGACTGTAGGTGCCAGGCAATATTTATATAAAGTTTTAACCTGATATAAATCAATACCTTGTTTTTATTTATCTTTTGCAGAAGCGCTTTGTTAAAGGTCTTCGACAATTTGGAAAAAACTTCTCTCGTATTAGGAAAGATCTTTTACCACACAAAGATACGGTAATTCATTCAATATTTTATTGGTACAACAATTTTTTGTTATTCCAAGTTCTATTCATATTTTATATAGATGAAGAATAGTTGACTAGTTATATAAGTAAACGTAATATATATTCTAATTATTATAACCACTATAAACTGAAGTATTCAATATATCTGTTAATAAAATTTAAGTAAAATAAAAATATACTCAAGAAAGCCATACTATTATCTGTAATGTTTATTTTAAGTGGTATTGAAGCATTCATTATATGTTTTAAATAAAAGCTAATAATAATTTTCTAAATACGATATTAATATTTCTTTAAATTTTCAATAGTTCGAATGAACTTCCATGCTATAAGTATATATAATATTGATGTAAGGTTGTATAATATATTGATATAAAGTTAATCTCTAATTTTTTTAAAAATCCAATTGATGAAATGATAAAATAAATCAATGAAAATATTTGTAAATGATGAATTTAAATTAAAATTAAAATTGTTGCTTGAAAAATAAATTAAATCTATAAATTTTACTATCTTTTAAAAAAATTGATATTATTATTGGACTGTATAATAATTTAAATATGTATTTCTATTATCAGACTCAAAATTATGTTAACTGTTTTAGCCGGAACTTGTTGAGTTTTACTATCTGTGGAAGAAAACGCCTGGAGCAAACAACAATCGCCCACATCGGCGACGTCGGCAAGGATCACTCCGTCGTATTCGTAATACGCGTAATTCACGAGCAGGCACGCCGAAGGAGGAAACAACCACGCCAGTCAGTGGTGAAACACCAAGCACGAATAATTCTAAGGAAAGTATTACCACGGAACCCGAAGGTAGTAACGGTGGATCGCTCAGCTGTACTGGTCCTACAGCATCCAGCAACAGTAATCCCATTACCGGCGAGGTGAGCTCCGTTACAGAAGACGACAATTCCGAAGAAGATAGCGACTCGCGCGATACAAATACCAACGGAGTTACACACTCTTGTCAGCACTGTTTTTCTAACAGCTCCAAGGATTATCAGGTTATTGTTTTATTTACCTTACCAAATACATTTATCATTACTTACATAAGTGGCTTCATATTAGTATAAGAAAAGGAAGATTCACATAATAATCAATGAATTCAATATGATAAATAAAAAACATATTTAGTCTTTTACTACTATATTATACCAATATTGTATTATTATTTGTTACATTTTTATGATTTTTATTGTTATTATAAGATAAAAATTAACAAAAATAATAAGAAATAAAATAAGACATAAGTAATAAGACATTAAATTTTAAAAAATCTTACCAAAATCGTATTAAAAGTTAAATAAAACATAACTTTTGTTTGCAAAATATGTATATACATGCAGACTTGAATTTAGATGAATTCTTAAACTCTCTCTCTCATATATATATATATATATATATATATATATATATATATATATATATGTATGTGTGTGTATGTGTGTGTGTGTGTGTGTGTGTGTGTGTGTGTGTGTATTTGATATATACTAAAATATGTATTGCTATTTGTAATATAATTCACTCTTAAATTTTTTTAAAAAAAATTATTTTTAAAGTTAATCTAGAAATTTTTTAATTGAGTTAGATGTAAGATATCTATTTTATGGTTAGTACTTCAATTATTTAAATATATTCTGAAATATTATTTATTTATATCCTTAATAATAGTTATTTAATTAACAATTATAATATTTTGGTAATAGTTTTGTTATAGTAATGACAATAACAAATGATAATAAAATACAAAAACAAACTATATAAGCATATATAAAATTATACTAGAATTATTAATTATATTTTTAGATTTTCTAGAAAATAATAATTTTTTTTTAAATAAACTTAAATAAATAAAAAAATGCAATAAATGATAAAAAATATCAATGAAATAAAAAATTTATCATAAAATATTGATTATATGAAACTTGGCAATATTTGAAAAAAAATTTATATTTTAGATAAAAAATTAAAAACAAATTAAAATCTATTTTATTCATAATTCGTGTTATCTTGAAATTGTTCAAATATTTAAATAATTCTAAGAATTATTACTATAAATATAATTTAATATTATAAATATTTTTTATAAATATGAATAATTGACTTAATTTGAAATTTTTCTTTAAAATATTTATTTTTCAATAAACTAATTTAGATTTTGTAGTTTAATTGACTTATATATAAAATGTTGGAATAATAAAACACAGTTAAATAATAAAAGAGATATGACATTTAATAAAATAATGTCTTTAATATTTTTTTTATATAATTGAGTATATTAAAAATAATAAAGAAAAAATCTATTATTATTTTACCAATATAAAAATATAAATAATTATGTTTATAAATATTTAGTACTGTCCATACTTTCATTTTTTTATAGTAATATTTCTGTAGTAATATTTAAAATATTGGTTATATAAAATAATTGTTTCAAACTTAAATAATTTAAAACTAAATTAAACAAGTATTGTATTTTGTTAAATATTAAAATGTCATTCTATTTTCAATTTAACAATGTGTATAATTGTATAAAAATGTAGACTAATATAAAACTATTGTACATTTTTACAATTTTTTATTTACATTAAGATTTGATTTACAAAAAAAGTTAATAAATCTAATAATTTAAATTGTAGAAACTATAATACCTAGTTATTCAAATATTGAATAAAATATATTACAGAAATGTTATTTGATTTAAGAATTTATATACAATATTAATTTTGAAAATCTGTAAAAAATATTTTATTTAACTAATGATTACAAGTTATTTATCTTTTTAAAATTAATCTAAAATTAAATTTTTTAGTATATATAATATGGTCAATATATATTATTATATTAAAAATGTGTAATTAAAAATAGAATATACGTAATAAACATGATAAATATTATCTACATAAAATTGAACTGAAGTTAATTGATTTTTGATTAGGTCACTGGTAAGGACAGATTACTTCTCTGTGCGGAATGC